GAAGCGGGAACTGCCTGGAGACTTGGCCTTTAGTTCTGACTTGGGAGAGCTGGGGAAGCTGTCCTGAAAAAAGAGCCAGGTCTTTGGAAACTGAGTGTATGTGCGTGTGTGTGCACGCGCGTGCCAGCGTGTGTTGGGATGGGGACGGAAGGAAGAGAGACAGAGGCAGGGAGAGCGAGAGCAACAGACAGAGTCACACACACAGACAGAGGGCGAAAGAGACAGAGACACACAGTCAGAAACTAAGAGAGACAGACAGACAGACACAAAGAGATGGAGAAACCAAGGTATACAAACTCATATACACACACAGTCCAAAAGGCAAAAACAGAGGTGAGAAACAAATAGACAAAGAAAGACACACACTGAGAGGAGAGAGAGATTGAGTGATTGATTCAGTGGGTTTTAAAAAAAAAAGTGGCACAGACAACATCCTAGCAAGTGGGGGACAACCCCTCTTGGCTGGCTGTCTTCTGACTGGCATCTTATTTTTATGTATTTATTTGAATATTTTATTGGGTTTTAGGTGAAAGTTTACACAGCAAATTAGGTTCCCATTTAACAAATTTTTGTACAAATTGTTCCGTGACATGGGTTCCAATTTTTGCAAGGTGTCAGCATTCTCATTATTTCCATTCTGTTTGTTCTGTTTCCATTTTTCTAGCTTCCCTGCCCCTCCTTGCCCTCTCATCTTTGCTTTTGGGTAAATGTTGACTGTTTGGTCTCGTATAGTTGATTGTTTAAGGAAGCACATTCCTCACAGGTGAGATTATTTTATAAGCCAATCTATTATTTGGCCGAAAGGAGACTTCTGGGAGCAACCTCAGTTCCAAGTTAAACAAGTATCTTAGGGCAATAGTCTCGGGGGTTCCTCTAGTCTCTATCAGTCCAGTAAGTCTGGCCTTTTTTAGGAATTTGAGTTTTGTTCTACATTTTTCTTCCATTCTATCCGGGACCTTCTCTCATGTCTCTGGTCAGGATGGTCGGTAGTGGTAGCTGGGCACCATCTAGTTCTTCTGGTGTCAGGCTAGAAGAGGCCATGGTTTGTGTTGACCATCAGTTCTGTGGACTAGTTTCTTCTTTGAGTCTTTGGTTTCCTTCATTGTCTTTTGCTCCAGATGAGAAGAGACCAATAGTTGTATCTTAGATGGCTGCTCACAAGCTTTTAAGACCCCAGACTCTACTCACCAAACTAGGATGTAGAACGCTATCTTTATGAACATGTTATGCCAATTGACTGAGTTGTCCCATGAGACTGTGGTCCCAAGCCCTTTAATCCAGTAAACCAATCCTGTGAGGTATTTGGATATGTCTAAGAGGTCTCCGTAACTGTGCCCCCTATGTGCGTTATTATGTATATTAACATACATGAGCACACCCAAACATGTATATACTTATGCCTACAAATACAGCTATATATGTAAGTGCATGCACTCACGTATACCTTCCTGTACATATCTAGCATGCATATCTACCCCTGTAACCACACACATATTTTTTGGTTGTTACTACTGTTATTGCAGATCTCTGGTGACATAGTGGTTAAGAGCTCAGCTGCTAACCAAAAGGTCTGCAGTTCAAATCCACCAGCCGCTCCTTGGAAACCCTATAGGGCAGTTCTCCTCTGTCCTATAGCGTCACTAGGAGCTGGAACTGACTCGACGGCATGTAACAAAAACAACAACTGTTATTGCAAAATTGTATATGTTACATTTACTGTAATTGTCCTTTATTCTTGGGTACCTCTCAGTTACGCAAGTCTTCATTTACCTTGGTCAACTTGTGCTGACTTCTCCTGTATCGTGTATTGCCTTTCCCATCACCAGGAATAGGTATTTCTGTTTCTAGCTTTTTGAGGAAATGCCATACCATTTTCCATAGTGGTTGTACCATTTTACAGTCCCACCAGCTGACTGGCATTTTAATTTCACTTTTTGTTTGTTGTGAATTTGTTGTTCAACACTCTTAGGAACTGCTTAAAAATAGAAAGTCTGTATTAGCTCACTTTAACATTTTGGGGCCCCATTTTCACATTCGAATACCTGTGCTCTGTTTACAGACGCTACACATATGCGAAGGCTGGCTGGTCTTTGTTTTATTTCCAGGTTCAGTTTAAATTTGATCTGATGTGGGGGAATTGGACAGAGGAGAGAAGGAAAGAGAGAGGCAGACAGAGAAAGAAAGAGAGGAAAAAGAGAGAGATAAAAACAGATGGACAGACACAAAAGAGACACAGGGAATCAGCTGGACATCAGCAGATGGTAATTCTTTAGTCTGGGTCCAGGAGAGGCCCTGGTGAGAGAAAGCTGACCCCCCTCCCAAGAGAGAAGGGAGGGAGGGAGAGAGTACAGGAGGGTGATGGTTGGAGTGGGGGAGGGAGGCAGCCCAGCTCTGAGATTAGATAAACATGTTTGCTACGAGGCACAAGGCTGGACTTTGTACGGCCCTTGCCTCCCAGCTCTGAATGGCACCGGGGGAGGGGAGAGGGAGGCAGAGAAGAGAAGATCCCAGGGGCCCCTGAAAGTAGGGAGAGAGAGGAGCTGGGGGAGAGGTCTGGAGGATCAAGAGCAGCATAGAATATGCTTGAGTCCCAGGTAGGTCACCTTGGACAAGCAATTGCACCTTTCCTGAGCCTCAGTTTCCTCACCTATGAAATGGGCATCCTAGCAGTACCTACTTCTTAAGGTTATTGTTAGATTTAAATGATTAGCCCATAGCACAGTGCATGGCTCATAATAAACACTCACGAAGCATTAATTGTCCCGGCGATCATTTCTTTCAAAACAGGGCTTTGCTGAATCTACTGCTGGCCAGTTTAAATTTATCTGCCACCACCTGCCTTTCCTCTGGGATAAAAAAGGAGGCAGTCAGAGGGCCAATGTGATGGAGAATGGCTCTGTGCCCTCACGTCTGAGGAGGACATTGCCAAGGGGGCAAGTTCTTTAAGGAAGAAGGGAGGGGCTAGGAGAGAAGGTAGTGTGGGGGTAGGTTTCAGAGCCCTGGGGGTTTTATTTGCTTTTTGTTTGCTATAATCCAGTTTTAAATATTATATATATATATATGATATATTGAGGAGTCCCTGGGTGGTGCAAATGATTAAGCATTGGTAGTTCGAGCCCACCCAGAAGCACCTCAGAAGAAATGCCTGGTGAGCTGCTTCCAAAAGGTCACAGCCTTGAAAACTTCTATGGAGTGCATTTCTAATTTGCACACATGGGGTCACCACGAGTCAGAACTGACTTGATGGCAAGTGGCAACAATAATAGATATGATATATTAGAATACATTACATAATTTAAAAAGGACAGAAGAGAAACAGGGAAACCCGCCCCCTCTCACCTCGTTCCCCTCTGGAAGTAACCAGTGACACCAGTACCTTGTTGGTCTCTCTGGGATTTCACATATAGACAAGCAAATATGTACACATATCCTCTTACCCAGCTTTTTATTTTACACAAATAGCAGCCTTGCAGACAAACCAGACAAACCCCGTTCTGTCTCAGAGGCCATTCCACTTGGAAGCAAACAGAGCTTCCTCGGTGGGTTTTTACAGTCGTGTTGAACAGGAGCCCTGCATTTAATTAATCAGCATCATTTCACTGGACATTTAGGTTGTTTCCAATCTTTTGCTGGAGTCCCCGGGTGGTGCAAAAGGTTAACATGCTCGGCTGCTAACCAAACGGTTGGTGGTTCGAGTCCACCCAGAGGTGCCTCAGAAGAAAGGCCTGGTGATCTACTTCTGAAAAATCAGCCATTGAAAACCCTGTGGAGCACAGTTCTACTCTGACACACATGGGGTCACTAGGAGTTGGAATTGACTTAACTGATTTGGCAAGCAACATGGCAGCAAATTGCCTTCTGCAAGTGCCATTTGTCACATGTGCAAATATCAGAAGGCTCAAATCCTAGCAGTGGAATTCTAGTGAGAGATTCTCAGCCCGGAGAGTGGGATTCTGATGCTCAATGCACACATTTTTTGTCCGAGGCCTCTGCGAGCCCATAGCTTCTTCACCTGGGACGCCATTGAAGAACTAGTTGCCCACCCAGTGCTTTGGGGAAACTGGTTGTGCTGCTGCCTAGGCTTTAGTTGCAGGGATTTTCAGAGGCATTTTGACCCTGTGTGATTTCTGCCTGACAAACTGACTTAGAATACCTTCAGGTGGGACGGGACCCTGCTGGGTCAGCCATGCGACTTTGGACAAACGACGCAAGCACTCTGAGCCTTAGTGGCCCTTTCTATAAAATGGGAGAATCCGTGTTTCTCTCCTTGTTTCAGATCCAGTGATTTTCTTTTTCCAGTAGGTCTTCCTCATCCATCCCCCCTGTCCACCCACCACTACTCATCTACCCATCCACCCATTCATCTACCCATCCATCCATCCACCCAACAATCCACTCATCGATCCACCTACTGATCCATCCATCTACTTGTCCATCCACCCACTTACCCACTCATTTATTCATGCCTGCACCAAGGACAATACTCTACGTCAGGCCTATTTTGTGTGCTGAGAACCAGACAGTTCCTGCCCTCAAGGGCTTTACAGTTTCTTACAGTGGATAAGACACAGCCACAAATAACAATTCCAGGCCGGATGAGCAGAGGTAGTTTAAAGGAGGCACAGCAGTGAGGACCCTCCTCATCTGGCTTGTGCAGCTTCCTGTGGGAGTCTGTTCACCTGTACATCTGTGTGTTCCTATTTCTAAACCTTCGTCTGTTCCCAGGTCTGTGTCCACACGCCTGTGTCCACAAGTCTGTTGTGTATGTATGTGTCCAAATGTCTCTGTCTCCATGTCCTTGTATCCTTTCAAGAGTGCCCATGCCTCCCACCTCTGAGTCCGGGTGCAGACCCCCAGGCTCCGAGGCTGCTTCCATCCACCATCGCCCTCCCCAGGGCTGACAGGGCTCCTAGCACCAAGGACCCCCAGCTGAATCTGCAGCACTGGCAGGGCCCACTGGACACCCCACTGAACAGGCCCTGTCCTTGCCCTCCTTTCAGGGAGGACCCGTGGCGGGTGGCGAAGATGGTCAAGTCCTACCTACAGCAGCACAACATCCCACAGCGGGAGGTGGTTGACACCACTGGCCTCAACCAGTCCCACCTGTCCCAGCACCTCAACAAGGGCACCCCCATGAAGACGCAGAAGCGAGCCGCCCTGTACACCTGGTACGTCCGCAAGCAGCGAGAGGTGGCCCAGCGTAAGTAACGACCATGGCTGCGTCTTCCCTGGCAGGGCCTGGAGAATCTGCACAACTCGTGGGTGGGGGCTGAATTTTCACCACCGCTGTTACAGACAGGCAGACTGAGAGGAGGTCAGTCAGACTCAACCAACATTTATTACCTATTTTGCTCAAGGCACTCTGGGGCAGGGGAGAAGGGCTGAAGCTGAACATCCAAAGATGGATGAGTTGGGTCCTCCAAGAACTCACTCTTCAGTGGGGAGGCAGGAGAAAAGATGGTTATGATACAGTGAGGCATGTATTATAATGTGGGAACAGCAATGCGTTGTTGTCACCTGCCATTAAGACGGCCCCTGACTCATGGCAACCCCATGCACAATGGGATTGGACCATTGTCATCCAGAGGGTTTTCACTGGCTGATTTCTGGATGTAGATCACCAGGCCTTTCCTCCTAGTCCATCTTAGTCTGGAAGCTCTGCTGAAACCTATTCAGCATCCTAGCAACATGCACGCCTCCACTGACAGATGGGTGGTGGCTGTGAGTGAGGTGCATTGGCTGGGAATCAAACCTGGCTCTCCCGCATGGATACCACTGCCTCTTTATTAACATTGGTATGGTACACTTGTCACAATTAACAAATAAATTATTATTAAATAAAGCCCATACTTTATTCAGATTTCCTCAGTTTTCCTCTAATGTTCTTTTTCTGTTCTAGGATCCCATCCAGTGGTAGACACATTACACAGAGTTGTCATATCTCCTTAGGTTCTTCCTGGTTGTGATAGTATCTTAGGTTTACCTTGTTTCTGATGACCTTGACAGGGTAGTATTTTTTTAAGCTGAAATATTTTAATTTTTTAGGCCAGCTCACGGTATCTTCGAGCATTTTATTGAGAAAGGTTGTGAGATTAAATTTTGGCTCTGTAGAAAAGTGTGCAGGGATTGATTACTGATGTCTGCCTTGGACACAGGTGAATAGGGTGGTGGCTCATGTGCTGTGTGCTTGTCGTCACTGGATTAGATGATTTCTAAATTCTAGTTGTAAGCTCCTCTGGTTCAGCACCCGGGGGATGAGAATCAGGGATGTGGGCAGGTGAATTGACGTGGGAAGGTGGGAGTGGCCAGGGCCCTGCTCATGGCTCTCTGTGTCTGCAGAGTTTACCCATGCAGGGCAGGGTGGGCTGATTGAAGAGCCCACAGGCGATGAGCTGCCAACCAAGAAGGGGCGTAGGAACCGATTCAAGTGGGGTCCAGCATCCCAGCAGATCCTGTTCCAGGCCTATGAGAGGCAGAAGAACCCCAGCAAGGAGGAGCGAGAGGCATTGGTGGAGGAGTGCAATAGGTACAATGGCTGGCGGGTTAGCAGTGCTGATTTGGTTGGGGCTGCGGCTAGGCTGGGGCAAGCCTGGGGGAGGAAAGGGTGGCTCTGGCTCCTAAGGGAGGCTCCCCTGGCCGTGAGAGGTCCTGCTGTTGGCTTAATGTGACCCAGAGAACTGAGAGTACTCAGCTCTGCTCAGTGTCTTAGACCTAGCTCCGTAGCTCCGTTTCTAGCAACCCCCCCCCCCCCCAGGAAATCCCTTGGGTAGTTGCTCATCTCATTTCATCTCCACTATAACCCTATGGCTATTTTGCTCACTTTATGAATGGAAAGACTGAGGTCAGACAGGCTAAGTCAATTGCCCAAGGTCACACAGCAGAACTGGGATTGGAACCCAGCCCAAACACTTAGGTAGAGCCTGACTTCCTAGAATCCTCCTCTTCCACCCCCAGGAGAGGGTTCCTGAGCCTGGCCTGGGAGGCTCATGGGTAGGCATTTCTGCAGGGCGGAGTGCATCCAGAGGGGGGTGTCACCATCGCAGGCGCAGGGACTGGGCTCCAACCTCGTCACGGAGGTGCGTGTCTACAACTGGTTTGCCAACCGGCGCAAAGAAGAAGCCTTTCGGCACAAGCTGGCCATGGACACATACACCGGGCCACCACCTGGGCCAGGCCCAGGGCCTGCGCTGCCTGCCCACAGCTCCCCTGGCCTTCCCCCACCTGCCCTCTCCCCGAGTAAGGTCCACGGTGAGTGCTATGTGGGCACAGAGATTGGGGAAGTTTGTAGAAGGGACATGGGGGTAGGTGGGAGAGGTGGGGAGGTCTGCCCCAGTGGTAGTAGCCACCCAAACCTCTTTAGCATTTTGGCTTGGATCCATTCCACTCCATCTATTCCACTATAATCCACTCCACTCCAACCATTCCACTATAATCCACTCCACTCCAACCATTCCACTATAATCCACTCCACTCCAGCCATTCCATCTACTCCACTCCACATTACTCTGTCTGCTCCACTGCATTCCACTTCATGCCATCCACTTTGCTTCACCCAATTCACTCAACTCCATTCCATTCTCTCCACTCCAGTCCATTCAGTTAAACCTAACTTGATTTGGGTTACTTCAATTCACCTCATTCATTTCAGATCAAATCAATTCAATTCATTTCAGGACAACTCGATTCAATTAAACTCTGTTCAATTATGTTCAACTCATTATAATCCAATTTGGTTCATTTAAATTTGGTAAATTTAATTCAATTCAATTCCCATTCGATTGATTCAGTTTAACAAAATGTAATTCAATTAAATTGAGTTAATTTAAATTTTTGTGCAGCTCAGTTTAATCCAATTCAGTTTGATGTGATTCAATATGATTGGATGTAATTCAATTCAATTCAGCTCAATTCAACTTAATCGAGCTCCATTCATTTCAGGTTTAATTAAACTAGATTCAGTTCAGCTTAACTGATTTCAGTTCTTTCTGTCGAACTCAGTTCACTCTAGGTTGATTTCATTAGCCTCAGTTTGGTTCAATTTTCTTTTTTTTAAAAAATGATATATTTCACTTTGTCTTTTATTGAGCACCTACTGCACGTCAGGTATAGCACTGGGAGTGGGGAACATGGAGCTAATAAGCGCAGCTCTTGCCTTCAAGGAGTTGGAAGCAGCCAGCACAGGACCTGGTCGAAGGTGGATAGATGCTCAAGCAGTCTGCTGGCTGCCTAAAGAAAGATGGGGCAACTGGCCTAAGCAAAGCCATGTGGTTTGGGGTGATGATGGCTATGGAGTGATGAGGGCTATGGAGGCGGGCGAGGGCAGGGAAGTCGGGTGCTGAGGCTGCACATTGCACCCCATTCCAGGTGTGCGCTATGGACAGTCTGCAACGAGTGAGGCAGCGGAAGTGCCCTCCAGCAGTGGTGGTCCCCTGGTGACAGTGTCTGCACCCCTGCACCAAGTGTCCCCCACGGGCCTGGAGCCCAGCCACAGCCTGCTGAGCACTGAAGCCAAGCTGGTGAGTGTCCCCTGTCTGTGGGAAAACCCCACTACCCCGATCCTCCCTTGGCTGGGAGATCCTGCAGGGGTCCTCAGGGAGGCAGTGTGGGGGCTCAACCCGACTCAGCTTGGCCTCCCCTTGAAGGTCTCGGCAACAGGGGGGCCCCTGCCCCCAGTCAGCACCCTGACAGCACTGCACAGCCTGGAGCAGACATCCCCAGGCCTCAACCAGCAGCCCCAGAACCTCATCATGGCCTCGCTCCCTGGGGTCATGGCCATCGGGCCCGGTGAGCCTGCCTCCCTGAGCTCCACATTCACCAACACGGGCGCCTCCACTCTGGTCATTGGTAAGCAGGTGGGGATGGGTGGCGGATCTGAGTGGGGGGCTCTTGGGGCTTATGCAGAATCCAGGAACTGGAAGAGCCACTGAGACTCATTCATTCATTCATACAACACGTATCTATCGAGTGTCTACTCCATGCCAGGCACTGTGCTACATCAGTGATAATGCGAGCGAACAAACCAAAACAAAATCTCAACCCTCCTGTAGATATGACCCAACTGGGGAGGCGGACCATAAACATCATACATGAATCATACAGTGCCTTCGAAGGCGAAAAGTCTATGGGAAAAACAGAGCAGCAGAAGGGGGATTGAATTTTTCTAGGTTGCAGTTTTCTTTTTCTTTTAAAGCTTGAAAGCCCTTATTTGCACAAGCTATTATGCAGAGGGAAACCCTGGTGGTGTAGTGGTTAACAGCTCAGCTGCTAACCAAAGGGTCGGCAGTTCAAATCCACCAGGCACTCCTTGGAAACCCTATGCGGCAGTTCTACCGTCCTATAAGGTCGCTATGAGTCGGAATCGACTTGATGGTGATGGTTTTGCTTTTTTGGTTTATTATGCAGAGGAGCCCTGGTGGCACAGTGGTTTGAGCATTTGACTGCTAACCAAAAGGTCAGCAGTTCAAATCCACCAGGCTCTCCTTGGAAACTCTGCGGGGCAGTTCTGCTCTGTCCTATAGGGTCCCTGTGAGTCAGAATCGACTCAACTGCAACAGGTTTGGTTTTACTATGCAGAAGCTCAACATATAAGGGAGACAGGGAGGTGGTGGGAGAGGGTGTCAGGGAACTCAGTCTAGGGCCCTTGCGCTTCTGTGGAACCCCAAGGCTCCAGGGAACCCGGTTTGACAACCTGAGCTAGTCAATGCCCACCTCTCCCACTCCCTGCCCAGATAAGGAGCTAGAGGCTCAGAGAGGTGAGGGAGGTAACTTGCCAGGGCCACTCAGTTAAGTTAGCAGCAGGGCCAAGCTTGGAGTGCATCTTAGGGCAGGGCTGTTTCCTGATTGCCCTGTCTCTCAACTCCTGGGTTTTGGGAGGAAGAGATGATACCACCAGGGGAGTCTGGGTTGGTGCTGTGGAGGGGGGTGGGAGCTAGGCTGACTCCTGCCCTCCTGCTGCAGGCCTGGCCTCCACTCAGGCCCAGAGCGTACCAGTCATCAACAGCATGGGTAGCAGCCTGACCACCCTGCAGCCAGTTCAGTTCTCCCAGTCACTGCACCCATCCTACCAGCAACCACTCATACCTCCGGTGCAGAGCCACGTGGCCCAGAGCCCCTTCATGGCCACCATGGCCCAGCTGCAGAGCCCCCACGGTGAGTGCCCCTTGCCTCCCTCAGTGGGTAGTGCTGGCTGGGGTCGGCTCTCGGTGAACACCGAGGAACAGGTCAACTTTGTCGGTGTTGTAGGCTGTGCCTGTGTCTGGTCCACGTGTGCGTGCTTCAGTGATCGAGGGTGTCTGTGCGCTCAGATGAGTGCCTGTGGGCAGGAATATGTTTCAGGGTGTGAATACGTGCAGCTGAGCACAAGCACGTATATTTGTTGAGTGCAGGCACTGTGTTGTGATGTGTATCTGGCTGCTTATCGGAATGTGTTTGTGGGTGTACGCCTATGTGTGGGAATATAGTCCTCTGAAACCCTTGGAGCCGTCTGTATTTCTGAATTCATTATTTTTCAGCTTTTAGAAAGATAAACCCAAACCAGTTGCTACTGAGTTGACTCCAACTCATGATGACCCCACGTGTGTCAGAGTAGAACTGTGCTCCATAGGTTTCCAATGGCTGATTTTTTGGAAGTAGATCACCAGCCCTTCCTTCCTCTGGGTGGACTCAAACCACCAACCTTTTGATTAGTACCTGAGAGTGTTCACGGTTTGCGCCACCCAGGATAATATGGTGGCTATATCATATGTTACACAACACTCCCAGCAGGGTTTGCGGCAACACAAAGCACTATTATTTCCATGTCATCAAAGCACTACTATTTCTCAGCAGAAGGCATGAATTCCATAAAGCAGGCTAAAGACCTGCATGACCTCACATCAGGCTCAGGTCAGGCTTTGTTACCAAATGAGCTCTAGCGTCAAACTTTATGAACATCTTTTGGTTTTCTGAGCTTTTTGGATTTTGGAATTGGGGGTTAGGGACTGTGGACCTGCATATATCTCTGTGGATATGTGCTTGAACGTGTATGTACTTATGTGTGTGGGTGGGTGATTATGTTTTCATTCGAGTCAATGTGGGCCTATGAGGTTGGTGTGTGTTCTACTAGTGTGTGTGCATATTCAGAGGGCTGTAGGTGAAACTGGTTACATTTGAGAGGTGTCCTAGGGTGGGAGATACTGCTGCCCTCTGCCCTGCTCACTCCTTAACCTGCCGCCTGCCTTTCCTTTGAGGCCTTGCTTGGTCCAGCAGCACCCACACCCATGCCTCCCAGGTCCCTTCACACCCAGCTGGCAGGAGGAGCTGGGTTTGGGCTCCTGGCCTCTGCTCCACATCCACAGGCTGTGGTGGCGGAGAGGGCCCAACCCCTTTTCTGGAGCTCCCAGTTTTGGAAATCAGCGGAGTCCCCAACCACTGCCCCATCCTCCCAACTCTGCCAGGCAGAGTGCACGCCCTACCTCCTCCAGAGAGCCCAGCCTTGAGGCCCTCAGGGAGGAGTTCAGGGTACCACGTCTGTATCAACATCTCCCTCCTCCCTCCTGGCCAGCCCTTTACAGCCACAAGCCTGAGGTGGCCCAGTACACCCACACGGGCCTGCTCCCACAGACCATGCTCATCACCGACACCACCAACCTGAGCGCCCTTGCCAGCCTCACGCCCACCAAGCAGGTAAAGCCAGGCCCCACTCCCGAGAAGCCCTCCCCCCAAGCACCATGCCTCTGGGGGCTTAGGTGGCTGCCGTGTATCTCCAGGTCTTCACCTCAGACACGGAGGTCTCCAGCGAGTCTGGGCTTCACACATCGGTGTCCCAGGCTACCACCATCCACATCCCCAGCCAGGACCCCACTGGCATCCAGCACCTGCAGCCCGCCCACAGGCTCAGCACCAGCCCCACCGGTGAGCAGCCTTCCCCTGCCCCTCACTCTCACTGTCCCCACCACCGGGGAGGATGACCTGTGCGGCAGACCGGGGGCAATGGCAGCGGGCATCACCCAGGCTTTGGAGGGCACTCTCTGCTTCTCGAACTTGGCCTGGGTTCTATGAAGTGTCCTAAGTGGGATATAAAAGCACAGGACAGCGGGGCCTAGCTTGCAGGGAGACTCACTGGACTTGACTGAGGCAAGATTAAGGCATCGGAAGAGGTAGGAGGGGGCAATGATTAGAAACCGGGGCTTGTGGTGGCCAGAAGTGACTCAGGGATGAGTTTGGTTTGGCTCGGGCTTAACATTATTGAATTAGTTGCCAACATTGAAAAATCAGCTTTCAAATAGAAATCTGGGTTTCTGGCTTCTCTCTGAAAACTGGAAGGACTCATGTTCCCACGCAACAACAGTGGAGCGTGGGCTCTCAGCCTGCCACATCCCCACTTGACCTACCCATCTCTCTCATTCCCATTCCCTGAGCTCGCAGCCCATGATGTGGTGGTTAAGAGCAGGCACTCTGGAGCCAGGCTGCTGGGTGCGAGCCCTGGCGTGACCACTCAATAACTGTGTGACTTTAGGCAAGTTGCTTCCCTCTGTAAGCCTCAGGCTCCTCGACCCAGCACCGTGGGCAGCAGTGGCAGTTATGAAGGGCGCCATGTTCCAGTCCTATGCTTTACCCCCACCGGCCTCACCACAAGCCCGGGAGGCGTGTATCATCCCCATTTTACAGATAAGAAAGCCAACACCCAAGGAGGCGAAGGACTTGCCTCCCCTTCCACATTTCCTAGGTGGCAGGGCCAGGACTCCAACCCAGGTCTAACCTCAGAGCCTGTTCTCTTGACCATCTCTCCAGGGCTTCTCCAACACTCCCACTAGAATGTTCTGACCAGGCCAGTCCCCGGGTGGCCTGGTCACCTGGCTGTGAGCCTTAATAAGCACTGAGGACAGAGGTTTGACTTTGGGGTTGCTATTATGTGCTGTGGCTCAGGAGGTGAGGCCCAGCCTCCCTGGTACCCCTGGGGGCAGGCAAGCAGGGTGGGTGAGGGTGGGCTTGGCGGGGCAGCCAGCAGCCTCATTTCCCTCTGCAGTGTCCTCCAGCAGCCTGGTGCTGTACCAGAGCTCCGACTCCACCAACAGCCACAGCCACCTGCTGCCAACCAACCACAGCGTCATTGAGACCTTCATCTCCACGCAGATGGCCTCATCCTCCCAGTAACTGCGGCAACCGCCTCCCGGGTTGCCTCCTGTGCTGCCTGCTGGGGGAGTGATGACAGCAGCCGCCGCCGCCTGGAGGGCATGAGGCTGCCAAATTTTTGCTGCCACAGGGCTGCTGCCTTCCCTGGGGGACTGCCAGCAATGGGAGGGTTCCACAGTGCCCCAAGTGAGGAGGGCTGCTTCAGGTGCACAACAGGGGACTGTGGAGAGCCAGGAAGCAGAGCCTGTTCCTGGCAGGACACGGGAGGGACCATCCCTGCTGCTCAGGGTGAAATCTCATCACTTGGAACATAAGGGGACAGCCCTTGGACGCTCAGCCTCAGCCTGTGGAGAGCCCTGGGGCCCTGAAGGGGCTCCGGCAGCCACACTCCTCAGGACACAAGCCCGTGTGACTGGGACTCACTGAGCTTGGAGAGGTCACCTCCCCCTGGGATGAATGCACCAAGGTCTCTTCTGTCACCCACGTACCCATCAGGCCACTCCAGCCCTGCCCCTTCCCACCTCCCAGCTCTGGATCCACACACCCATTTGTATCCATCCATCACTCACTTACATACGATTTCCTGAGAGGCTACCTCGGGCCAGGGCCTGGAGCTCAGATGTCCAAGCCACGGGGGGCTCAAGCTAACAGGGAAGGCAGCAGGGCTTTCCCAGCTCCTGTTCCAAGCCATCACTTCCCCTGGTCCCCATCACCTTGCTTTCCTGGACATTCGTTCCCCTGAGCATCGCACCTTCTGAAGCCAGCCTGGCATTAAGCCTCGACTGAAGACCAGCTCTGGGCTAGGACGTCCTCTCTGCCCCTGCAGGGGCCTCGGGACTCTGTGGCTGGTGACGCAGCCAGGCCCCTGGGCAGCAGCTCTTCTGACCTCGGGGGCCCTACAGACCCTTCCCTTGTTTGGGGGAGAAGTTGCCGAGGCAGGCAGTAAGGCCTGAGTGGCTGGCAGAGCTGAGGAGCCCAGAGGAAGAGAGAGGTGCAGCCAGCTGGAGAGGCGCTCTCTGTGTGGACGGGACTGATGCCGGAGATCTTGGGAGCCTGGCTGGTGGAGGGGTGGGGAGAGGCCCAGGCAGTTCACAGCTACCCTGAGGAGTCTGAGGTCCGGAGTTTCACTGGGTAGGGGAGACGGACAAAGCAGCTGTATAACCCCAGGGCACAGGTGACCTCATCTCCTTGAGGCTGCTGCAGATAACCTGGACCTCAGTGGACAATTCCACCCGGAGACTGAGGAAGGGGCAGTCCCCTACCCCCCTGCAACTTACAACCAGCTAAGGGCGAGCCTGTCAAACTATTTAAAGTTCAGTAAAGCAAATGAGAAATGTATTGAACACTTCTTGTTTGTTCAGTGATCAGTGGTTGGGCAGGCAGCGCAGGCTTGGTGTGGTCCGGGAGCCTGAGGAGAGAAGGGCTTAGCACACGCACACCCTCATGCCCATTTCTGCTTTTCTTGCTCTGCTGCATCTTGGTGGCAAGATTACGATGCCACACTTTCACCTTAAACTTGAGCGTCTGTTCCTTGTTGCAGAATACCCTACCGTTAAGAAACCCAGTCCACAAGTGGCGCAGCACTTCCGGAAGTCCTGAAGCTCTGAGGGGAAGGGACTTATCTTGGGGGTACAGGTAGGAGGATCCCTCATGTGAGTCTTATTCACAAGGTCTCATCAAGATTTGGCGCTGACAGACAGGCAGCACCCAGAATATTCTGTTAAGTGTTAGGTTTCACAAGAATTTATTTTCAATAATCTGGATGGCTCGGAGACATGATGGTCCGTGCGAGGGATATTCACAAATATGGAGGAAGAAACTTCTCTTCCTTTTTTTAGACAGTATTATATCACGTCTATGTGGCCTAGGGGAGATAGAACATTCTCTCTGGGCTTTGGCATCTCAGGGACCCCTTCTCTCATTTTTTCACACTGGAGCTGAGGAGGCAAAGGGGAAGGAGATCTCTTTTCACTTGCCCACTCAATCAGCACTGGAGAGATGGAAGCTTAACCACTTGACCATCAATCTTGAGTAACTGCAGGTTTCTTCTTCCTGAGGCCACAGAATGTTCTGGTACCATAGGTCTGCCCCAGTGGAAGCAGAGAGGGGCAGGCCTTGCTTAGGCTTCTGACCCTACAACCACTCCATCTTCCTGGCCCTTGAGGCAGAGTCTGGACCTGCCAGCTGTCTTAGTTATCTAGTGCTGCTGTAACAGAAATACCACAAGTGGATGGCTTTAACAAAGACAAATTTTCTCACAGTCTAGTAGGCTAGAAGTCCAAATTCAGGGCGTCAGGCTTTCTCTCTCTGTCGGCCTTCTCATCCATCTTCCCCTGGACTAGGAGCTTCTCCGCGCAGGGACCCCAGATCCAAAGGACACGCTCTGCTCCCGGCACTGCTTTCTTGGTGGTATGAGGTCCCTAACTCTCTGCTTGCTTCCCTTTCATCTCTTGAGAGATAAAAGGTGGTGCAGGCCACACCCCAGAGAAACTCCTTTCGCAGTGGGATCAGGGATGTGACCTGGGTAAGGATGGTGTTACAAGCCCACCCTAATCCTCTTTAACATAAAATTACAATCACAAAATGGAGGACCACCACACTATACTGGGAACATGGCCTAGCCAAATGGATACACACATTTTCTGGGGGGACATAATTCAATCCATGACACCAGCCAAGGCCTTGAACTTGGAGGAAGGCAGAGGCTTGGAAATGTCTTGTCTCCAGTGGGCACCTTGTCCTCAGAGCTAGCTAGGCCCTGTGTCCACAGGCTGGGTCAGTTTGCAAGCATGGCTGCTGCACTCTTTGCTGGTGGGAATTGGGGAGCCTCACTAGGCTTTGCCTTTTTCTTTTTTTTCCTCTTTTTGGTCCCAAGTGATGCCTGGTCCCCATTGAGCTTGGCTGTCTCCTTTTCTTGCTTTTGGACCATGGCCCCACTTGTGGTGGTGGTGGCTGTGGCTGAGATGGCATTGGCCTCCTCCTTGGCTTTCTTTTTCCTCTTTTTCTTCTTCTTTGCCTCTTTCTCCACCTTGATAGGGCCATGGATGGCTGATTCCTTGAGAATGTCGGAGGCTGACACAGCTGCCTCCCGGCACCTCTGCCACTCCTCATCGCTGTCCTCGCTGCTGCAAAGGGGCAGGTAGAGGGTAGCCTGGATCAGCTGGAATCAGGAAAAGGCCCCAAAGCTGGCCCCCTCTGTCCAAACCACCGGAAAGAGGACACAGAAGGAGGAAGTGAAAGAGCTCAGGCTTGAGAGTGAGGCAGAGCTGGGTTCAAATACTGGCTTCTCTACTTACCAGCTGTGTGACCTCATTAAGTGACTTAACCTCTCTGACCCTCAGTGTCTTCATCTATAAAATGGGGGTTTTAATAGAGCCCAAGCCTCACAGGGATGTCCCAGGAGGCAAACACGATAAAGTGCAAGTGAGGTGTTCGGCACAAGAGGAGTATACTCAAAAAGCAGTAAATATCCAAACCCAACACAACCTCTTCACCTCCCCACTGAGTGCACGATTTCTTCAGCTACTGGACGTCGCCCCTTCCTTGGCACGGACCTAACTGAAGTCTGCTTGGGGATTACAACCGATCAGCCAAGACAGAAGAGCAAAAAGGAGGGAGTTTGAGGCCTAGTGTGAGATCTTACCTGGAGCTGGAGGGCGGTCGCTTCTGGCGGGGCTGGGGAGAAGCTTCCTTCTTAGGGTCGCCAGGGATGGACGTGAAGAAAAGGCGGAAGCCTGATATTCAAGGAGGCAAAGTCAGCAGCCCCAGATGCTGGCCCCTCCTCCCAGGTATGGAGGCTGCCCCACCCCTGCCTTCAGTGCATTCCCAGTCCAGAGGCAAAGACCTGGAATCACTATTATCTAACTACAAAACGATGCCCTGTCATTGGTAAATGCCCGTTGGAGCCAGAGGACAGGGTGTTTCCAGGGACGTCAGCTGCTAAGTCAGGTCACCAAGCCAGTCCCCAGAGACTTCCAGAAGTCAGGGTTCTGGAAGCCGACAAATGAGCCCCCTAAGGCAGCCTCCAAAGTGACAAATGACTTGGGTGTGGGGCAGGTAGACACACAGGTTGAGGTTGTGGCGGCTCCTGATCAGGTTATGTCAGCAAAGTAACTTCATTTCTCAGAGCCTCAGTTTTCCTGTCTGCAAATGGGGGTAGCATCATAATAAATGCCTCACCTGGGAGCTAAGCAGATGAAAGAAATTGTACCAAAACTATATTGCCCAGGTCCAGGCACACCCAGACCCGCTGCCGTCGAGTCAATTCTGACTCGTAGTGACTCTACAGGACAGGGCAGAACTGTCCGGTAGGGTTTTGAAGGCTGTAATCTTTACGGGAGCAGACTGCCATACCTTTCTCCTGCTCCAGGAACAAAGTAGGTGCTTAATAAACAAGAGCTGTTATTACTAGTTTAACTACTCACCATCATCCTCTGAGACAGCCTTCTGTACCCTGGCGTTTGTTGGCTCCTTCTGCGTTTCTGAGATGGTAATGGAGCTAAGGCAAGAGGAGATAGCTGATTTAGGATGCGATTTGGGGTAGCAAAATAAATTTTTATTTTAATTAAAAATTTTTTAAGTGGAGGGGATGGGGGCATGATCTTTACTGCAAAAGCAGAGCGCGCACTGGCCTCATAAGAATTCTACTGCCTACAGCCATAACATGCTGAACAGCCCCTGCCAGCTCAAACTGCAGTATTTCACTTGTTTAAATTCCACTTTATTCCAGAAAGGGTTGAAAGACATTTTAAAGATACTAAGAGTACAACAAAATGAACGCAATTTAAAACAGGGCAAAGAGAACATAAGAGCAGGAAGAACAGAAGCAGCTGGGAGTGTGGTCAAGAAGTCCTATACACTTGCTAGACATCACACATTTTGCTCTGAGCTTCCTAGCAGCAAGCATGAAAAGGGAAACATGACCAGTCTAGCAAAGTGGTTCAGAGCCCAGCTTCCAAAGCAACGGAAACCTGTGTTTTTAATTTTTTAATTCTGAGATAATTATAGATTCATATGCAGCTGTTAAGAAATAATACAGACAGATCTCATAAACACGCCTCACCAGATTTATTCCAAAGGTAACATCAAGCACAACCAGTGCACAATATAACAACCAGGAAACTGACATTGCTATGATCCACCCACCTTATTCAGATTTCAGAGAACTGAGTTTTGAATCATGGCTTGGTCACTTACCATCTATGTCCCCTTTGGCAAACGAGTTTATCTTTCTGAGCTTCTGCTACTCATCTGAACGTTCAGCATTATAACAGATAACAACTCTCAGGGTTGTCATGGGGATTACATGAGATAATGGACATCAGACACTTAGCACAGAGCCTGGCCACAAGCAGGTGATCAACAAATGGTAGCTATGATGCTGGTGAAGATGATTCTTGACATCAAGATTAGCAACAAGCTCCAGAGGACTTCTAAAATAAGAATAAACCACAGCTCTCCAGAAGCACGGAGGGACCAGAGAGAATTGCTGAGACCAGGAAGCATGTGTTATGGATTAAATTGTGTGCCTCCAAAATGTATGTTGGAATCCTTACCCCTGTATCTGTGGCTGTGATCCTGTCTGGGAACAGGGTTTTCTTTGTTATGTTAAGGAGGCGGTATCAGTGTAAGGTGTGTCCTAAATCCAATCACTTCTCAGTTATAAAAGGAGCAGACTAGACACAGAGACAAGCAAGCAGGTATGGGGGAAGACAAATGCTATCTGAGGACGATGTAGGCAGATGAGTCTACCAGCCCAGAAACTCCAAGAATTGCTGGCAATTAGAAGGTGAAATAGATAAGGAAGGACCCCTACTAGAACCACATTCTGAATTCGAACTTCTAGCCTCTTGAACTGTGAGAAAAGAAATTTCTGTTCTTTAAAGCCACCTATTTGTGGAATTTGTGTTATAGCAGCACTAGCAAACTAAGACAGCGTGTCTCTGGTGAATGCTGACGGGTAAGTCACCGTGTACAACGACGTCCTCACAGCAAACGAAGCAACGCACTGGGTTCTTTGTCCTAACATCCTTCTATATATGCTAAAGGCATCCCCAAAGCCTTGTTTGAGAAAAGCAATCTGGGAGAGGGAGTAGAGATGCGACATCCAGGCACTTGACTCTGACCCGAGGATGTAACACAGTGATTGTCACCCAGGGAACATTGGGCAATGTCTGGAGACATTTTTGGTTTTATCACAATTAAGGGGGTGGGATGCTATTGGCATCTTGTGGAAGAAGGCCAGGGATGCTGCTTAATACCTGACAATGCTCAGGGCAGTGCCCATGACAAAGAATTATCCACTCCAAAATGTCAACAGTGCTAAGGTTGACAAGCCCTGATCTAACACAAGACACCAACTGGGGTATCAGTTAGACCTCTTTGGAGAGAAATATGAAGAAGTGCAGGTAACAGTCTGACCATGGTTGACAACCTGGGGAAATGTCCCATCATAACTCACTGTAATGCCAAGTGGGCCTTGTTCACCATGAAGTCGGACAGTCATGAAGACAGACTGTGCTCCCACAGGTCAGAACACCAACTGATGTTCCTAAACATGTCTGCCACATTCTCAGGTTGAGGGGCTGCCTCTAATGCCATAGTAGTTCAGCCTGCTGGGGTCTGGCCTAACATTCTGTCTTAGAAGAGCAGTTGGTTCACACGTCGGAAGGGCTCGTTTGCCCTTTTTGATATTTATTTCCAGTTGAGGGACTATGGCTCTAATGTCCTCATCTCCCCTTTCAAACCCAAAAGGGCTCTGCAAATCAAGAATGGAGCTAGACACTGACTCCAGGCTTTTTGGAGCCACGGAGGCTGGATGAATCCCTGAAACTATTGCCCTGAGATCATCTTTAAACCTTAGACCAAAAGTATCCCCTGAAGTCTTCTTAAAACCAAACAAAAGTTTAGCTTAACTAGTAAAGAATGTCTGCCTTGAGTATTATGCTCTTTTAAGAAATATCTATCTTGGATCACAGTGACAACTGCAACTAGAAAGATTAGATAGGAACCTTAGGGGCAGTGAGTTTATGTTAATGGCAGAGGACCAACTCAGAAAAGGAGGGTGAGAATAGTTGCACAACTCAAAGAATGTAATCAATGTCACTGAATTGTACACGCAGAAATGGTTGAATTGGTGTTTATGTTCTGCTATGTATATTCTCAACAAAAACAAGGAATGAAGCGAGATCAGGGTTTCCCAAATTGTGTTCCATGGTATGTGGACTGGTCTTCCATGAAAGAAGGCACTGTGGCCAAATGAGCTAGAGAAATGCCGGACTAAATGAAGTTACACAGATCTCTTTTTGGCAGGGATTCCCAGAGCCTTGAATGTCCTATTATGAATTCCAATCTCCAAGGGCATGTAGAGGCACGTGGATTGTAGTGTTTCTCAAACTATGTTGCTGTTGGACTGCCTTCTTCCTAGAGCTACACTTTGGGCTTGTATCCTTTGGCACCTACTTTAGGAATGCCAACCTGAATACTTAGACCGTATTTCAACCTATGCTGGAAATGTAAGAAAGAGAATGGGTGTGATGCCTGGCACACAGAAAACACCCCAAAATATGAACTCTGCTTCCTGCCCTCTCCCGGCGGGAATGAGCTCTTACTCCTTAGGGTTTCTCTTTCATTCTCACGGTAGCAGGCTAACTCTGTGGTTGAGAGCATGGGCTTTGGACTCAGACACACCTGGGTTCAAGTCCCAGCTCCGCCCCTGATTCTCTGTGACTTCAGGAAAGCACTTCCCCTTGCTAAGAGTCTATGTTTCCCCATCTGGAGAATAAGGACAACAGTAGGGCCTGCCCGGCCGGTTGAGTACGAATGCAGTGAGGTCAGATATGTCAAGCACTTGCCACAGTACCTGCTGGCACACAGTGAGTTCACAGCCAAGGAAGCCATTACTGTTTGCATTAACAAGGGCGGGAGAAGGTTTGCTTTTGGTTACCTGTCCAGTAGGGCTCCCAGCTTCTTAGCTACATGAGCTCGGAATTCTGGGGTAGTCTGAAGCTCGTTGCCATCTTGTTCGTGCTCATCCACCTTAAGCCTGCAACACACACAAAAGGACCTCACTTCCTGCCAGCTCAGAAGCTACCCCGTTGAAGGCAGGGACTACATGTGTTCTGTTCATCTGGGGACTAGCCTAGCAGCCCAGGGTCTACCCTAGCATCTATAGCCACAACCGACTCAAACATACCAACTATCATAAAGACAGCACAAAACCAGACAATGTTTCCCTCTGTTATACGTAAGGTCACCAGGAGTCAGAGCTGATTCGATAGCAACTAATAACAACAACAGCCTGGCATCTGGCACACAGCAGGCAGTCAATTATTTGTTGACTTCCTGCTGTGTGCCAGATACTACGCTGTAGTTGCTAGACAAACACACATAAATATAAACTTGACCCCAAAGTGCATACTACCTGAGGCTCGGCTGGGTGGCTGGCAGCTGGTTATTTGCAGCATCTGTGGAAACAATGAAAATTGAGGCATTTATAGAGGAAACACGGACAATAACAACATCGGCTGTGTGCCAGGCAGAATTTTAAGTGATTTACATGTATGACTCATTGATATCTTCACAACAACCCCATGAAAGTGGTTATCATTATCCCCATTTTACAGAAGAGGAAGCGGAGGCAAGGAGATGTAAAATAACTTGGTCAGAGTCAAATAGTAAGTGTCAGAGTTGCGATGGGAACTCAGACCACCTGGCTCCAGAGCCCCTCTCTTAACCACCATGCTGAACGGGCAAGTCTAACTGTAATTTGATTCCAGAATTTACTGAGTGCCTATTATGTGCCTGGCTGTGTGCAAAGTGCTGTGGAAAAGAGAAGAAGGGGGCTCAGCTACATTGATTTACACATGAAAACATTGTGGATGCCTGGCCTGGTGGCCATTCACTCAACCAAATACCGAATGTCTAATATCACCCAGATGTAGTTGCGGAACAATTTGACAAATACCCTTGCCTTCATGGAGCTCATGTTCTAGTTAGTGGAGACAGATAACAAACAAACACGCACGAGTAAAATATAAAATTAGCTAACGGCGCATATACGGAAAACAAACAAAGCAGGGGAGGAAGGTAGGAGTGCTGGGTGGAGGTAACACTTTATGAGGATGGGCAGGGACGGCCTTGCTGAGAAGGTAACATTTGAACAGAGATTTGAAGGAGGTGAGGGAGTGAACCAAATGGCTATCTGGGGGAGAGCATTCCAGGCAGAGGCAAGAGTGCCTGTGAAGGCCTTGAGGCAGAAACCTGACTGGGAGCATTCAGGACCAGCAAGTGCTTAGAACAGGGGCACAGAATGAGTACTCAACTCATGGTGGCTACTATTCCCAGAATCACCCAAGAATGCACATCAAGTGTCCAGCACACAGTGCTGGCACACAGTAGGTGCTCAATAAATGATAACACTTATTATCAGCAGCTACATCTACTTTGATCAGCAGGGGATTTATGAGGTCACAAAAACAATGAGTTGTAAAGCTGGTACCTTGGATGCCACTTCTCACGTATCTCTTCGTATGCTGGTCAAAGCTTGTTCATGTTTGAGCCTCAGACCAACCCTAAGAGTCAGGCATTTTACAGATGAGGAAAGTGCAGCTCCCAGAAGTCATGTTACTTGTCCAGGACCAGCATAAGAGCTGGCACTTCATACCAAGTCCTCCTTCCACTGCCACCTAGTAATCCATTCTGACAAAGAAGAAGCAACTGGACTACGAGTCTGGCTGGAATCCCGGTCCCCTCACTCACTAGAGTGGTGTCTTTTGGGCAAGTTCACTAATTCAAAAACTACTTCCTGAGCACTGTGCTGGGCCCTGATGATACCATGGTGAAGGGACAGACCAGATCCCTGTCCTCAAGAAGCTTACATCACATAACCACTTACTTGTGGAACAAGTACAGGCCAGAGTTGACTCAAAGCATTGAGGATGCAGGGATGAAAGGAAAAAGGTAAAGGGGCAATTGTAGAAAGAAAGGAAATCACTGTTTACGAAAAAAAAAAAAAAAAAATCCACTGCCATTGAGTCGATTCTGATGCATAACAACTCTCACAAAGTATGACAGTGGCACGAAGAAGGTGTCTAACCTAGACTTGGAGGATTGAGAAAGCTTTCCCAAAGAGGTGGTATTAAAGGATGAGTGGAAATTAGGCAGGAAGGGAAAGCAGTCCATATAAAGAGATCAGCCACATAACTGCTACCATTTATTGGGCCTTTAATATGTGCCTAGCAGTGTAGATGCATCATCTCAGTTACTTCTCAACTTTACGGGCTGGATACTACCATTATCTCCAGTTTACAGACGAGGAAATTTAGGGACAGTGAGATTTCAGTTCCTTGCTCAAGTTCTCACTGTTAATGAATGATGGAGCTGGAAAGGCAGACCTGCACAGAGCCTGCAGAGAAAACTGCAGAACTATGGTGCCCAGAGATGAGAGGGCATAGTGTTGTCTGGAGCCTACCTACAGGAAGCATAGTAAAGCAGGAGGGCAACTAGGGAGAGGCAGGCAGGGAATAGATCACTAAGGGGCTTGTAAGTCCTTTTAAACAAATGCAGAGGTTCTTAATCTTGTTTTGCGATGGCCTCCTCTGGCAGTTTGGTGAAGCCTGGATCCCTTCTAAGCATAATCTTTTAAATGGATGAAGTATAACACATAGGATTACAACGAAAACCAATGATAGAGAAATCCAGTTATCATAGTATTAGAACACCAGATTAGTAATGTTAATATATGTGCTTCTTAATTAATGCATTAACTAAATAAGATCTAGAGGCGAGTCTAAAAACTACTGTAATTTTAAAGCAGAGAGGTGTATAAATGATTTTTGCACCATTTTACTGTGAACAAAATGATATTTTTATATATCTGTAACAACCATTACGGGATATGAAAATCTGCGACTTCTGCTGGAGCAGTGGAACAGGTATCGCCAAAACTACTGTGGTTTGTTGCCCATATGCACGATAGAAAGAGATACTAAATTTCAGTTAGAGGCCAACGGATTTATTCCTAGCAAAATAGGGAGTCACAGAGGGGTTTCAAGCACGGGAACAACACGGTCAGAGCTGCCTGCCAGCTCCTCATTGGCAGCTTCCCTAGATGTGGAGAACGTGTTGGAGACAGGGAAAGGCTGATGCAAGAATCCAGGGAGGGGGCGTCGTAGTCATTACGGAGAGGTGATGGCGGCGGGGCCAGTGTGCGGCAGAGAGGATGGAGCGAAGGCAGCAGATTCAAGACACTTAAACACCTCAGTTTCCCCGACTGGGGTAATGGAACCATCCTCTCTGCTGCACCTGCCCGAGCTTTGAATTTGAACTTCACACAGTCCCTGGAGCTCTCTAGGAGAAGGAATTCGAGTACCAGTGACTTCTCACCATCCATCCTCTCAGCCCCCAGAGGAAGACCCCACGCTCTTCGGCCAGCCTCTCCGAGCACAGCCCCCTACCAGCTCTAGCCTTCTCCGGACCACTTGGGCGCTGCTCCAAGCCCCAGGCCGGCATCGCTGCCTCGCGGCACCGCGCCAGCTCTTCGGCATCGCTGCTGCTGCTGCTGCTATCGGAATCGCCCATTGCGCCTGTGGGCGCCGCCATCTTGAACTACCGCAAAGGATTGTGGGGAGCTCCTTCATTGGGCGATCTTCGTTCACAGCCCCACGTGAGAACGGGGAAGCGCAGGTCATTGGGGACGGGGCGTTCTGAAATCTGATAGGTAGAAGAGCCTAAGAGATCAACCTCTCCATCCTTTTCTTTTAATAGATGAGGAAAACGAGACCAACAGAGAGGAAGGGAATTGCCTAAGGACTCAAGGAAATAACCGGGATTAGTTCCCAGGTTTTGATCCAATGTAAGTTTCATCATTATTAATTTATTCTAGTAATTCCTAAATCCAGCTGGGCATCAGAACCTTAGGGAACTTGTCAAAATGAAGATTCTGGGGTCTTGCTAAAAGCTAACTGAATCAGAATCTCTGAGAGGTGGGACCCAGGAATCTGTATTTCCTCTAACATGCTAGGCCTTTGTTACTCTGGCGGTCCCTAGGTGGTGCAAATGGTTTGCACTTGACCGCTAACCTATAGGTTGGTGGTTTGAATTCACCCAGTGGCACCGCAGAAGAAAGGCCTGGTGATCTGCTTCTGTAAAGATTACAGCCAAGAAAACCCTATGAAGCAGTTCTACTCTAACACATGAGGTTGCCATGAGTCAGAATTGACCACATGGCAATGGGTTTTGTTTTGGTTTTTTACTATTCAGAGTCTGGCCCATGAACCAGCAGCATTGGCATTACTTGGAAGCTTGTTAAAAATGCAGACTCTTGGACTCCACCTAGACCTCCTGAATCAGAACCTGCATTTTAACAAGATCTCCAGGTGATTTGTGTGCACATTAAAGTTTGAGAGGCACTGTCCCAGGTGATTCAGGTACACAGTTTGGTTTGGCGAACACTCTGCGGTTTTCTGGTGCAGGACTTCTCAACCCTGCCTGCACATTGGAGGCATCTGGGGAGCTTTTTAAACAATGCTGATTCCCAGGACCCACCTAAGACCAACGAATTAGAATCTCTGGAATTAAGATGCTCCATAATTATAGAGGAACAAAATCACCTTTACTTGTTTCTGGAATGCTGTTTTTAATCTTTTATCTTTGAACTGAGTGTGTCAAAGACTACTGAAATAAGCTCTCTGGTCTTAGATTTTTCTGTTCTGAAAGGAAGGTGACTTACTTTTTCTGTTTTAAACAAAAATCTGCCCCCTACCTACAATGTGGTCTGTACTTGCATTACGAAGGGCACAAAGATATGGGCTGGACTAGCCTGTTGACCCCATGGAAAGGAAGCACTTTTTCTGCCTCCCGAAAGCAAAAAGAGGCAGGAAATATGCAGATTACTATTGCTAAATTGCCCAGAGGCTGTTGAGAACCAATTATAAAGTGCATTTCATATGCTATTGTGGGTAGTCCACCAGAAAGCAGGGCAAAAGGGGAGGAAAAAAGGAAATTTTGTTTTGGTTGATTGGGGTAAACCTTGATTGATCACGTGATGTCCTTTGACAGTGAAGATGCTGTTATTTTCCTTCCAGTTGCCTTTGAGCTGATTGTGATTCTTGATGACCCCATGTGTGTCAGAGTAGAACTGTGCTCCCTAGAGTTTCCATGGCAGTGACCTTTTGGAAGCAGATCATTGGCCTGTTTTCTGAGGTGCCCCTGGGTGGGTTTGAACCACATACCTTTTGGTTAGCAGCCAAGAGCTTAACTGTTTGCACCACCCAGGGACTCCTGTTATTTTCCTAAGGTCCTATTATGTACTGTGTGTGTTTCCGGAGTTGAGGAGATTTTACACTGCATCATTCTCACTCTCCCTGACTTTGCTTCTCTCTGTCTCAGTTTCCCAACAGTCCTTGACTCCCAGAATTGAGATGCGCAAATAATTAAACAATAACCACCAGGACAACATTAGCACCTGTCGAGATAATGAAGACCACCCAAATGAGAACAAGGCTGTTCATTCAGAGCTTGCTCTAGCTAGCAAGGGAGTCAACCACCATGCTTTGCGTTTGGACGAGACTCAGAGGAGGCAGAGCAGTGGCAAAGCTTTATAACGGAAAAAGGGCTAACTTCAGGTGTGTTCTGATTGGGGCTGTTGGCGCAGAGAAGTGGAGGTGGGATAAGTAGAAGCAAGGCATTCTGTGTGATTGGTTAAAAAAAAAACCAACAAAAAACTGTTGCTGTTGAGTCGATTCATAGTGACCCTATAGGACAGAGTAGAACTGCCCCATTAGGTTTCCAAGGAGCAGCTGATGGATTTGAACTGCTGACCTCTTTACCACTGCGCCACCAGGGCTCTGTGTGATTGGTTAAGGGAGCATATTTGACCTTCTCTGGTTTGTCATTAAGTTGGAAGAGGGACAAGTATTAGGGAAGCTGGTAGTTATTGACCAAGTCCTGACCATTTTGGGGTGATTACTGCAGAGATGATGGTTTGGCTTCATGGACTGGTTGCTGCAGACAGAAGTTCTGGACCAGCGTTCTATACTTGTACAGTAAAACCTGCAAAAGCCAGAAACCACGTAAGGCAAAAACCTGTCAGAGAAGGAAAACTCAAATATTTTCCACTAAAATGAGCGACAGAAAAGTGGTAAGACTGCACACTGTGAAAGGCGGGAGACTTGCGAGACCTGGAAAAACAAGGCAATCCTGCTGAGTTCCGGCTCTCCCAGGTTTCACTGTATATAGTCTGGCCATTGTCTGTGTGTATATTCAGTCTCTCACACCCCTCCCCACTCCCCCAACAGTAGGGCTAGGTAACTATTACAAAGCTGGTTAAGACATGGGGCTTCTTTGCAGAGAACTGGGAGGCATGGTTGACAGGATGAGTTCTGGATTCGGTGACAGATTCGATGCACAGAGAAGTTTCTCAGAGGAAATTAGCTGGGTGGAAATGGAGCCTCTCTGGCTCTTTTCTTAGAGAGGAAAAGGGTGTCACTGTCTTGGATGCCATAGCCCACAAAATCCAACCAATCCTGCAGGACTTGGCCTTGGAACTCGAGCTGCTGCTGCTTTCTGGGCAGCCCAAAGTTGTCTTCAATCTGCTCTTTTAGGCTCAGGATGCAGTTGCTGGGATTGATGGCATAGGCGTCGCTCCCACCGTCTGGATTCTTCACAAAGACCTGAATCTCAGGGGAGAAAGTCTCCAGCAGATAGATGCGGATGTTGGAGAAGATCCCATAATAAGCCAAGGAGCAGTGGCTGCTGAGGAGCTGCCGTTGGCCACTGGGCTCCTGGAAGGACAGACGCTGCAGGCCTGAGTAGCCCCGGTTCTGCTGGATTTTCTTCTTAATCTTCTTTATGGGCTCATAAGGGTCTACCCAGAGGATCAGGTCTAAGTAACCGCACTGCTCCACTGTCACCTGGATGTCTCGTGCCCTCTGGAAGGGAGAAGGAGAGAGGTTGGGTTAAATCCATGTTTCTCTGTCTAATGTGCAGAAGTTTCCTTCACCTGCCTTCATCTTTTCAACAACAATAGCAGCAGCAGCAGCAAACATTTAGTGAGGGCTAACCCTGGGTGGTGCAAATGATTAAGAGCTTGACTACTAGCCAAATGGCTGGCAGTTGGAACCCACCCAGAGGTGCTTCAGAAGACAGGACTGGCGATCTGCTTCCAAAAGGGCACAGCCTTGAAAACCCCATGGAGCACAGTCCTACCTTGCACACATGGGGTCACCATGAGTTGGAATCGACTTGATGGCAACTGGTTTGGTTTGGTTTTTCAACCACCTTCTGGAATCCCTGGGCAGTGCAAATGGTTAACATGCTTGGCTGCTAATCAAAAGCTCGGAAGTTCTAGTCTACCTCGAGGCACCTTGGAAGAAATACCTGACGATCTACTTCCAAAAATATCAGCCATTGAAAACCCTGTGGAGCACAGTTCTACTCTGACACACATGGGGTCGCCATGAGGTGGTATCAACTTGATGGCAATTGGTTTAACCATCTGCCAGGTGCTGTGCTGGGTGCCTTTCATACTCTTACCACATTTTATTCTTACAGCAGCCCTATGAAGTTGGCTGTACTATTATCCCCATTTTACAGATGAGGATGTTGTGGTTCAGCAGGGTTAAGCAATTTACCAAGCACCACAAGCATTCCAAAGGTAGTAAGGAGCAGGGCAGGGATTTGAACCAAGGTCGGTCAGACTTTGAAGTCTGTGTCCTTCACCGCCACCAGAGGCCACACTCAAGTGCCTGAGACCTAGTGGCTGAAGAACACCACCAGGAAAATTCTGGGGAGTGCTGGGCCTCTAGTGGGTCCTTTTCAAGAAGGAATATGGGCTCTTGACTGAAGAACACCACCTGGAAAATTCTGGGGAGAGCTAGTGGATCCTTTTCAAGAAGGAATATGGGCTCAGCATTGCCAAGTCTTTGGATTTTTCAAGAGAAAAATCATTGCACAATGGTTTTTATTTCAGGAAAAATCCAGATGCATATAATTTTCAGCCCATCTGTGGACCACCTGTGGTTGGTGAGCCCTCAGTTTGTAATCTGGGTACCGCATTATAGAGCCACTGTTTCAGCTTCTGCTTGCTTGCTTCTCCAAGCAGGTCAATCTATTGTTCCTGCGTTCACCTTGCTTATTCCCACCTCCAGGCCTTTGGCCCACCTGTCCCCTCGACCTGGAGAGCCCTCTTCTCTGAGCTTCTATATCTCTTCCCAGACTTGCGGGCCCACTTCATGCCCTTACTTCTTCATGGAATCTTCTCTGGCCAGTTCAGATAACATTTATTCTCTATTTCCAAAGCCCCACAAAGACCTAAGTGTGAATCCTGGCTCTGCTGCCTCTTAGCAGTGTGACTTTGGTTAATTAACTTAACCTCTCTGAGCCTCAGTTTCTTCATCTGTAAAATGGGGATGATGACGATGGTGATGATAATAACAACAATAATAGTTGGCCTCCCTACTTTTCAAATTTGCTGCAAGGATCACTTGAGACAGTGCCTGGGCAAGCACTAGCTTTACAGACTGTCAATTGTGATGTGGACGCAATAGATTATTATGATCTTTGCCCGTACCATAGGTGCGGCATCACATGATAATGTCATTTAGCATCTTTTGATTTCTGAGTATCTTGTCTTCTTCGACAATTCTTTCTAGCTGTTTGGTGCAAGTTTGTTTCATGGACTTGCTTCTTAACAAAATACAGTGAGTTTCTTGAGGGCAGGGACCATGCTCTATTTCTGTACCACCATTGTTCCCTTGCACCCACACCCCACCAGTCCCAAGCCCAATGCTGATGCAAAACAAAACTGATTGAGTATACTTGGCTGAGCACAGCTCATGCAAAGGATGATTGGGAGAATAGAACTTATTCCCAGGTAAGTTATGGGAAGGAGAGAAAGAAAAGAAAAAGAGAAAAGGACTTAAAATAAGGAGCCTGAGGGTCAGAGAGTCAAATAGTTTTCTCAAGTTTGCATAGCTAGTGTCAAACTCAGTATGACACTCAAGTTTTGTTGGCTCCATCAACACGGAAGTAAAGAAGGAAATACTATGCAGTTATCTCATTCTAAGCTTTAAGTCCCTGAAGACCCTGAGAAGAGCTGTTACCTTCACGTTCCAGCTGGTGACCGGGATCCCCTGGTTGTCATAGCAACAGTCCTGTTTCAGGCACTGGCAGGCCCTCTGAGCGACTATGTCCCATCTGTATCCTTCCGCCACGTTTTGAGTGGGGTCAGCTGGATCCAGGATGATGGGTCTGCAACACAAGGAGAGGGTGCCCAGGCTCTTTCTGGTTTGGAGGCCTGCTGGCCAGAAAGAAACCTTCTCAGCAAGCCACTGAGTCCAGGAGGGCCCCAAAACATCACTGGAAAGTAACGGGATGAGGACCATTATATTCCCAAGAATTCCTCTTGGGGAGAGAACTGCGGGTCTTTGGGATTTTAGGGGTGGGAATGAGGCTTGCTGGAGCACTAACAGATGCCCACTCATGTGGGTGGGTCAAGGGGATATGGGTGAGGCGTGGCAGCCTTTTCTACCATAGTGAGCATTTATCTGGCATCTTCTTGTTGGATGCCATCGAGTCGATTCTGACTCATAGCAACACCATGTGACAGAGTAGAATTGTCCCATAAGGTTTTCTATGCTGTAATCTTTATGGGAGCAGATCGCCAGGTCTTTCTTCCACAGAGCTGCTGGGTAGGTTCGAACCACCAACCTTTCGGTTAGCAGCTGAGTGCTTAACCATTGTGCCACCAAGTCTCCTATCTGGCATCTAACCAAAACCAAACCCATTGCTGTCGAGTCAATTCAGACTCATAGCAACCCTGTAGGACAGAGTAGAACTGTCCTATAGGGTTTCCAAGGAGCAGCTGGTGGATTCAAACTGCCAACCTTTTGGTTAGCTGCCAAGAGCTTAACCACTGGGCCACCAAGGCTCCATCCGGCATCTCCTATGTCCTAAATACTGTAGGCCATTGACGTATATTTTCTGTGACACTCACAATAGTTCTGCTCTGTAGGTGCCCATTTACTCCTGTTTTACGGATAAGGAACTGAGGCTTATAGAGGTGAGAAAATAGCAGAGCTGGGATTTACACTTGGGTCTCCATGATTCTTTCCACTTTACCATACTGTCTCTAAAAGTCACTGAAATGGTCTTCTGAGGGCACGAGGCCTAAGGTAGGGTGGGGTGGATGGCCTGTGGAGCAAGGAAAAGGCTCATAGTGCCCAAGAACCCTGGCAATTTTGACAGGCAGCCAGCTTGAGATAAAGAGATCTGTGTTAGCATGAGATCTCAGTGCGCAACTAACATGGTGGCCTTGTTGTTGTGTGCTGTCAAGTCGATTCTGACTCATAGAGACCCTACAGGGCAGAGCAGAATTGCCCCATAGGGTTTCCAAGGCTGTAATCTTTATGGAAACAGACTGCCACATCTTTCTTCTGTGGAGGGGCTGGTGGGTTCAAACCACCAACCTTTTGATTAGCTGCTGAGCTCCCTCTTAACCACTGTACCACCAGGGCTGTCTAGGAGGTCTTACTACTTAATAATAATTTAAAAAAAAGCTAAAACAACCCAGTTGCCATTGAGTCAGTTCTGACTCGTGGCGACCCCATGTGGGTCAGAGCAGAACTACGTTCCGTAGGGTTTTCAGTGGCTGATTTTTTAGAACTAGATCACCAGGCCTTTCTTCCAAGGTACCTCTGAGTGGACTTGAACTTGCGTTAGCAGCTGAGTGCTTAACTGTGTACACTACCCCGGGACTCCACTACTTAAAAAAGCCCACCCATAAAGCTCTATATCACCTTTCCCTCAGTTATTTCTTTTCTCTATGAGACCTGGTGGGCAAACAGTGGCCCAGTACCTCTCTTTCTGGAGCTGTTTTCTGACAAAGTTCTCGATGACTAGGTTCTGGAAGGCATAGTACTTGGTCCAGTAGATGCAGACAAACTCATACGCCTGGAGCAGTTCCATCACAGTGGTAAGGCCTTCATCCAACCTGAAATTCTCATCCTCCTGAGTACCCATTTCCCAGGCATAGACGGTCAGTAGTTCGAGGGCATAGAGAGGAGGCAGGTTGGCTCTGGGGCACTTGGCTTTCACATACTGTTGAAAGACGGGGAGAGAGAGAGACCCCAAGATTCTGTGTCAGGAATGCACTGGGCCAGAAATTGGAAAACCCAAGTTCTTGTCCCGGCTCAAGGGGCCCTGGTGGCACAGTGGTTAAGCGCTTGGCTGCTAACTTGGTGGTTCAAACCCACCAGCCTCTCAGTGGGAGAAACATGTGGCAGCCTGCTCTCATAAAGATTACAGCCTTGGAAATCCCATGGGGCAGTTCTACTCTGTCCTATAGGGTCGCTATGTGTCAGAATCAACTCGATGGCAAAGGGTTTGGTTTGGTTTCGGAGTCCCAGTTCTGCCACCTACTGGTTGTGTGACCTTGGCCAAGTCACTTTCCCTCTCTGGGCCTTGGTTTCTCCATTTTAGAATTATGGTGCTGGGTTAGTCTAGAGGATTCCAAACTGTGCTTGACAGAGGTAACTCTTGGGATGGAGTTATGAAGAGGTGCCCCAGGGGATGAGCTGGTTGGACTCTGCCTCCAGCATCCTAGCCTAAGCAGCGCCATTTTAATTTTCAAAGGTATTTGTAGCAAATTTTATTTAAAGTGTTGCAAAGTGTTGAAGGTTCAATAATGGCTTTTTACCTTCAACTACAAAAGAAGATATTATTATAACTCTTTTCTTTCCTATCATACTACCCCAATGTTGTTAGGTGTCGTCGAACCGGTTCTGACTCATAGTGACGCTGTGCTCAACAGAAGGAAATGCCGCCCAGTCCTGTGACGTCCTCACAATCGTTGCTATGTTTCAGCCCATATTTGCAGCCACTGCGTCAATCCCTCTCGTTGAATGTTTTACTCTTTTTCTTTGACCCTCTACTTTACCCAGCATGACGTCCTTCTCCAGAGACCAGTCCTTCCTAATAAATGAGATGAAGTCTACATACTACCCCCCCAAAAGACCAAAACCAAACCCATTGCTGTCGAGTCGACTGTAACTCATAGCGACCCTATAGAGGACTTAAATGTCAACATTCCAAATGTTTCTTAAAAAACAGTTTATGCTTTCAAATGTTTCTTCTCTAAAAATAGCTCTCTAACTCTTATTCAATTTGGCCATTCAGAAGTTCTGCTTCCTTTGTTTTTTTTTTAATTGTACTTCACGTGAAGGTTTACAGAACAAATAGTTTCTCATGAAAACAGTAGTACACATATTGTTTTATGACATTGGTCAACAACCCCACGACATGTCAACCTTCTCCCTTCTCAACATTTTCTCTTTTTTTTGATGAAAATATACATAGCCAAAGATACACCATTTCAAAAATTTCTACATGCACAGTTCAGTGACATCGACTACCCTCTTCCAATTGTGCTGCTATTCTCACTTTAGATGAAGGCTTACAGAACAAAATAGTTTCTCATTTAACAGTTACTACACACGTTGCCCTATGACAATGATTAACAACCTCACAACACATCACCACTATCCTTACTCAACCTTGGGTTCCCTATCACCAGCTTTCCTGTCCCCTTCTGCCTTCTGGCCCCTGTCCCTGGACTGCTGTGCCTCATTAGTCCCATTTGGTTTTATGGGGCTGTCCAGTCCCCGGCTGAACGGTGAATCTCGGAAATGACTTCATCACTGAGCTATAAGGGTGTCTGGGGTGTTCTGCTTCCTTTTGTACAACATATACCAAAAAAAAAAAAAATCATAAAACTTCAGCCCCACAAACCAATTTTTGTGTGTTTTAATTGTAAAAAAAGAAAAAAAGTCTGATACATGCTATATATTTAATATGAGAAGTATATTTCATTGTTTTTCTTAAATCTGGGCTGAGTTTTTAGATAAACAGCTCCATTTTTACTATTTACGTATTGGACTTCTGAGAAAGGTTTCCTTTAAAGAAAGGCTTTTTAGCTCAAAGGGAAAAAAATGGAAACCACAGGACTAGCTAATAGCTGAGATCCTGTGATGAGCATGAGGCCAGGAGCGTCTGTGGGCATTTTGCAACCATGAGGGGAAAAAAACCACGAAAATGTGTGTGTGTGTATGTGTGTGTGTGTGTGTGTGTTTATGGGTGTTTGTGCCTCCTGGAAAACAGCCATATAAGATTGGGAGCTGAACTGACTGATGAATTTTGTGCTGTGTTTATTTTTGACCCATGATTAAAGTTGTAATATTAAAGCTGCTAGTTCTCTTTCTCTTTATGAGTATAAATGAAAAAAAGCATTTTACAAAAGAATAGTCTGATTATAATCTATCTGTAGATAGCTCTTCCCCTCCCCACCCCACTATAGGAAATTTCTGGAGAGTAATTGGGAATAAATTCATGAGTAAAGACTGATGTTGCCACCCCAACAGACCATACCAAGGGATCGCGTCAGAATTTCATCAGACTCTTACTCCAGAAGCGGTTAAGACTGCTTAATCAAAGATCAACAGGGCAGAGTCAGTTACCTAGGTTAATGTTCTATTATAATGATTATGTGAGGAAAACCCCTTTGTTCTTCAACGATCTCCAACCTGGCAGCCCCCTCACCTGCAGGTACCAGTGTTTTACCAGCCTCAGGAGGCTTTTCAGCTTGGTTGGCCGATGTTTCACGAAGTTTCTCTGTAGCTCACTGAAGGATGGAGAGAAATTTCCAGGGTATCCGTGGGCCTTAATCAGACTCACATAGACATCAGGAGGTGGCTGCAAGTTGGAAGCCAAAGGCCCTGAGGAGAGACGAAGCAAAGGGAGATAGTGGGGACTAGGGAGACCCAGGTTTATAAAAGTTCATGGGGGAAGGGGTGCTAATTCATTGGTTTCTCTCTGCAGAGAAACCTGAGGCTTCATATTCTCAGAGACCAAAGATTTGTCCTGTTGAATTGTCCTTCTTGTGAGATTCTTTCTCTGGACAACTGAAATTTCCATTCCTCAGGCCACTGAAGGATTGGTTGCCTCCCTTGATGTCCCCAACACCCCCAGTTTTTCTCAAAGTCTGTTTTGGAGCTCTTTTTCTGTGATTATTTTAATCTCCCAACACCTGTAGGGAAGAACCAGTATAAGATAGGAAAGCTGGGCTCAGACGGAGCGTTTGCCCAAGGAAGTGTGTCCATGGCAGACAGCACTAATCCATCCCCGCACTCTCTCTTGCTAAGATTGGATGCTATTTCTGACACCTTTGCCCCATAGCAATTCCAGGCAGCCACTACAGTTAATAGGAGCTGGCACATGAGGTGAAATCTACTTATTATCTGGGGTTGTAGCAGATACTGTTTACTTCAAACAGCTAGGACTCTCCGCCTGAGGGCAAACAAGAAGTGCCAGAGAATTAATGCCCTGGGGAAATAGCCCTCAGCCAATGACTGATAGAGTCCGTAGATAAACACTCCAGTTGGAAGATAATAAGGTAGTCCCCAGTTTACAAAAGAGTTCGGTTCCTAAGTCTGTCTTTAAGTCAAATCTGTACGTAAATCAGAACACTTAGGTACGGTTCATATCTCACCTCAGTCAAGTGTTTCTCTTAGTATATAGTACATAGTGAACCTTTCTATGGGTAACAAAGATTAAAAAAAACTTTCAGATACACTAAAAATCTTTAACGTAATAATACAGTAATAATAATAATAATTTTTAATATAATATGTTTTGTGACGGTTGGTTTGTAACTACGTATTGTACGTAAATTGGACGTTTGTAACCTGGGGACTATCTTACTCTCACTTGGGATAATGGAGACTGCTCTACATTGTGACCTAGAATTTTCCAGGAACATGAAGCCCATTTGACTTGCTCTATAAGGCACTCTTTCTTTGTTTCTTCTCTTCCCTCCTTCAATTCCCCACTTCCCTACCAGTGTTTCCTGGGATCATCTCCCAAATAAATTGCTTGTCTTCGAATCTTTGAGTCAGAGTCTGCTTCTGGGAAAACCCAAACAGGTGCAGGGCCCCAGGCCCATAGTAAGTGCTACAGAAGCAGTCTCGGTGACTATTGTAACTCCTTCCCCTTGTCGGTTCTCAATGTCTCCTGAGCGTCCTTTCTGCAGAAAGGGTGCCCTTCCTAAGCACCCTTTCTGTGGTCACCCAGGTTGCCCCATTCTTTTCCTTTGGGCACTTACCCCCATTTGCACTCATACATTTATCTGTGTGATTCTTTGATAAATTTCTGTTTCCCGAGTTGAGCTCCATGACGGCCAGAGTTGGGTCAGTCCTGTGAACTGCGATATCCAGCCCCCAGCACAGGACATGAATGAATGAATGCATGCATGCAGGTATCTGCATGAGGCATGGCTTAGGGGTGAGGGAGTTGCAAGTCTTCGGGAGGGCAGGTGAGTGAGGTGAGAAAGCTTCCCCTCCCTCCCCTTACCTAGGGCCTTGTAAGCAGGCACAATGGTGATGGTGATGAGCCCCACGATCCCTTTGGTCTGGAGGGTGAAGACAAGAGCGTCGGGGACTCCTCGGGCCACCCACATGTCCTCCAACCCGAGGGCCAGCAGGTCCTGGCAACGCCACAGTTTTTTCCGTATCAGCCTCAGAACAGCTTGGTGGTACCTGGCCTCTTCCTGGAAGCTGCAGAAACAGCTCAGGAACACCACCAACTCCACCTCTGCAGCATTCCTGAGCACCGTGCCATTCCCAAAGGAGCCCACCTGCAAAACAAGAGCCTGTCACCCTGTGGCCACTTCCATAGCCAGGCTATCTCTTACCCGCTTTACAGATAATGTCCCATTTTAGAGCGCCTGGGTGGCACAAACGGTTAAGCGCTTGACTACTAGCTGAATGGTCGGCAGTTTGAAATCACCCAGACGCACCTCGGAAGACAGACCTGGCAATCTGCTTCTGAGAGGTCACAGCCTTGAAAACTCTATGGAGCAGTTCTACTCTGCACACGTGAGGTTGCCATGAGTTGGAATCGACTCGACGGCAGCTAATAACACCAACAACATCCCGTTTTATGCTCACCACCACCCTGATGGATACTTGGGTAGGAATAATATCCCCACTTTACAGGTGAGATACCAAGAGACTACATCGCTTGCCCATGGTCACATAGTACCTGGGTTTGACACAGTCAGCCTGTCTCCAGAGTCCACATCTCTGAATGACTACCCGGCACTGCTTCTGAGCCTCAGTCTTCTCATGGGCAAAGTGAGAATAGTAATGTCTGTTCTATAGTGTTGTTGGGAGGATTTTGAGGCGTCTGGGTAATTCCACAGGGAGCCCTGGTGGTGCAGTGGTTAAAGAGATCAGCTGCTAACCAAAAGGTTTGTGGTTTGAACCCACCAGCCTACTCTGTCCTACAGGGTCACTATGAGTCGGAATTAACTTGACAGCAGTGGGTTTGGTTTGGTTTATTTGGGTAATTACATGACATTAAAAAAAGGGAAGCAGGATTACCTGGTAGATGAGAGGCAAGGACTGTGGAACGGGGCAGCCTGACTCTGACTTACTCCTGCCTCTGTTTCTTAGCTGTGTGATCATCCTGAGTGCTAAGTCTCCTATCTATAAAATGAAAGTAATGGTAGAACATGAGTCATTGGGTTATGGGAGGATTAGATGAGACACAGTGTGCCAAGTGGCACACAGAAAGTCAGCAATATATTTCTCTTTCTCCTCTAGCCTCTTTTGCTCTTCCTCTGCTAGCCTTTGCCACCAACTTCATCTGTGGACAATCCCTTCCACTGCCTGGGTCTCAGTTTCCCCATCTGTAATGGAAAGAGCCTGAGCTGGATGATTTTGAAGGGATCTTTTTGATGTTTTGAGATTCTAGGCTTGGTCTCCAGCCCCTGTTGCCTCCAGGATACAAAGCCCCACAACTCTTTGCCTCCTCCTCCCTTGCTCGAAGATGGGAAAGCTAAGGATGCATCAGACCTCAGGACTGTGGTTGGCCATCTTTTCTGGTGGGTGGAATCAGTAGTCACTGGACTTTAATAATCCAGCTCTCTTGTGTCGCATACTCTCTGCATCAGGCACCGCTGAAGCCCTTTACACATATTACTATCATAATTATCTCTGATTTACCAGTTGCGTTTGACTCATGGCAACCTCATGTGTGTCAGAGTACAGTTGTGCTCTATAGGATTTTCAACAGCTGTGATCTTTTGGAAATAGAGCACCAGGCTTTTCTTCCGAGGTGCTTCTGGGTGGACTCAAATCAACAACCTTTTGGTTAGCAGCCAAGTCTTAACCATTTGGACCACCATCCAGCTTACAGATGAGAAAACTGAGGCATCACGAGGTTAATCAACGTGTCAAAGTCTCATAGCCAGGAGGCAGCAGACTCAGATTGAGTCTGAACATAGAATGTGGCTCTTCCACCTCATTTTTCCCTGTGACCCAGTCTGACATCCAGGCCCCAATCCTGAAAGGAGTCTGTCATCTTTTTTCCCCTTCCTTTTCCATTCTTTCTCCACTCAGCATTTCTGCCCCATGTGAAAGGGTTGGGAAGAGCATATCGCCTTGAAAATTGCATATAGACTATCCTTTCTGTGGAAAGATCCAGGCAGAGAGGAAAGAACAAGCTGGAACAAGCTTCATGGCTTGCTTCGTTGCCATTGAGTTGATTCTAACTCACAGCAACTATGTGTTACAGAGAGAACTGCTCCATAGGGTTTTCTTGGCTGTGATCTTTTTCTGGAAGCAGATCGCCAGGTCTTTCTTCCACAGACCTGCTAGGTGGGTTTGAACTGCCAACCATTTGGTAAGTAAACCACCCACCAAAATACAAACCCATTGCAGTTGAGTCGATTCCAGCTCATAGCGACCCTATAGGACAGAGTAGAACTGCCCCATAGGGTTTCCAAGGCTGTAAATCTTTAAGGAAAGCAGACAGCCACATCTTTCTCCTGCACAGTGGCTGATGGGTTTAATCCACTGATCTATCTGTTAGTAGCTGAGTGCTTAATCACTGTGCCACCATACCTTCTTATTTGATCAGTAGTTGGGTGAAAACTGTTTGCACCAGCCCAGGACCTTGGTTCAAACCTACTTAAGCCCAACTCATTCAAGGGCAACATTCACTCATGTGGACCAACCAAGCTCACCAGACTTTCTGTGCTGGGGCTTAGACTCCATAAAGGATTCATCATTATTGGCCATTGCTCTTTGGGTACCTCTATCACTTAGCGGTCTCCAGGGGAGAAGTGACCGTGATGGTTAAGGTTGTGTGTCAGCTTGGCTGGGCCATGATTCTCAGTGATTTGGCAGTTATGCAATGATGTAATTTGGCAGTTATGTACTGATGTAGTTATCCTCTATTTTGTGATAAAGAAACCACCTCCATGATGTGATCATCCAATCAGATGTAAGGGGCATTTCCTCGGGGACGTGGCCTGCATCCAACGTATATGGCAGTTCTGGCAAAGCTCTCTGGCTTTTGCTCGCTCTGCATCCTGCATCTGGTTTGTCATTATCTGACCTCCAGTTCTTGGGACTTGAGCCAGTGGCCTGCTGTATTGCTTGCTGATCTGGTGATTTGTTGGCCTCTTGTGAACCAGCAGCCTGCTGTCTGACCTGCCCATCTTGGGTTGGTCAGCCTCTGAAGCGACATGAGTCAGGAGAAGCTTTCAGGCTGATGCCTGACTCACGGACTTGGGACATGCCAGCCTCTACACCCACGTGAGCCATTTCCTTGAGATAAATCTCTCTCTCTCTGTATATGTCTATGTGTGTGTGTATATGTATATATATACATTCACTTCACTGGTTTTGCTTCTCTAGAGAACCCAGCCTAAGACAGTAGCTATGGTCTGTGAGCAGGATTTGAGGGCTGGGTAAATACCACTTCCTGCCATTAAAGCTCATTCTGTTTGTAACAGCTTTCTCTCTCCAGCCTTCCCCCATTCCATCCACTTCATTCTCGGGGTTGTGAGCGAGGATACGGGAGGGTCTGTGTGAGTCAGATGGGTGCCCCAGTCCCAGAAGAAAGTCTGGGCAAGAATTAGAACAATGCTTCTGTTTTTGAGCATTTGCCATGTACACTAATCATTTAACCTGCATTTCCTCATTTGAAGGAGATACGGAGATGATGCCCCAATTACAGATGACAAAACTGAGGATTTGAGAGATAAGATGGTAAATCCAGTGTCACAGACCTGATAAGTGAAGAAGTCAAGAGTAAAACCTAGGTCCTTCTGATATCAAAACTTCTGGTTTCTCGTCTCTAAACCATAGTGGGAAAGGGTGAAAAGAAATGGTGGGGACCTGAGGCTTCTAAATCCTTCCCTGGAGTGGCTGCCCCTGAAGAGAGAACTAGAGCACTGGGCTGGGAGTCAGTAGTACCAGTTCTAGTCTTGCCTCTGCCACCAATTTGCTGTGTGACCAGAGGATGTCTCTCACCCTCTCTGTGCCTCAGTTTCCTTAATGGTTAATTGAGGGATTGACTGAGACTGTCTGATTATCCAGGGCCTTTCTAACTCTGACCCTCTTGAATTTTGATCCTAGCTAGGACAGGAGGTAGCATGAGCCAGCTACGGGAAAAGTTTGAAGAAACCTCTCAGTGGGGTAGCCCAGAGCTCTGGCTGTGGAGTCAAGTAGACCGTGGCTCAAACCCCAGCTCCAACACTAGCTGTGTGACCTTGGGCAAGTCACCTCACCTCTCTGAGCCTCCAATAAAAAAATGTTATTATCAAAATTTGAAAACACACAGAAAAAGAGAAAATACAAAGAATACTCATGTACCCAACCAGATAGAATCAACAAGGCTAAACTCCTTGACACATTTGTTTCATCTAAACCGTTTTAATCACAGACATCAAGACACTTTATCCCTAAATACTTTAGCATTTATGTAAAAAAAGGAGAGAGAGAGAGAACATTCTCCCCATAACCACAAAACTGCTATTGAACCAAAACCAAACCCGTTGTGGTCAAGTCGATTCCAACTCACAGTGACCTTATGGGACAGAGTAGAGCTACCCTATAGGATTTCCAAGGAGCAGCTGGTGGATTCTAACTGCCCACCTTTTGGTTAGGAGCTGAACTCTTAACCACTGTACCACCAATGATTCCCTTATATTATCTAATACCCAGGCCATATTAGAATTTTTCCAATTGTCCCCAAATTGTATTTTACAGATGAATTATTCAAACCAGAATCTAATCAAAGACATTACATTGCATTTGGTTGTTATGAATCTTAAGTCTCCTAGCCTCTACTTTGCTCATCTGTAAAATGGGGAAAAAACAGTACCCTCCTCACAGGGTGCAAGAATTGGAGACCATATATGCGAAGAGAACCTCAAAATGTGAGCTATTATTATTAGCTTTCTGAGTAGACTCTTTCTGCTCAAGGTTGCAGTGTTGGGTGGGGGTTCAGGCAGTTAATGAGGTGTCCTGAGATGTTAGCAGTATGGGCTAGGGATGACTGGGCAAAGGGTCCCCAGCATCATCAGGGATGCAGCCCCTTATGCTAAGTTTTGCCCTGCGTTAGGGGATGGAAAAGTCTCACCTTGAGCACCTTCAGCACCCGCACCTCCTGGTCCAGCCCGTCGCCCTGGAAGTGCTCCTCCCTCAGGAACTTCTCCACGGTTCGCACTGCCCCCATCACCTCTTCCTTCCATTCCCGGCGGGGCTGCAGCCACTGAGCCACGAAGGAGTCTAGCCTACAGGCAGGGGTGTCATACAGCTCCTGGGCCAGCGCCATCTCTGCTCCAGAGAACCACTGCTGGACAGATATAGCCACTCTGGCACCTGTCAGCTCTGGGCACACACCCACTTTGTTAAGGGGGCCCCTCTTCAGCTGATCTCCAACACTGTGTGGGGTAAAGGACCGGGACAGAGAGGAAACTGGGAATGACTGGCCTGACCTGGGGTTCCCCTCCTAGGACCCTGCTCACTGCAGTGATGTTGAGGGGCACTGGGCTGAGGCTGGAAGCCTGGGGCCACCTTAAAGGGCCTGGCTTCCAGCCAACCTGCCTGCCATTGGTTTCAATTCTCAACTTTTCCTAGTTTCGGTTTTATGACGTTTGGAAACTGAAATTGGCTTGAGTTTGATCACTGAGGAGGCAATTTTGCCGGTAGGTTAGAGTTGAATGGTAATCCAACCACCTTATCTTGAAATAAGGAAAATGAAACTCATAAAGAGAAGGGACTTGCTCAGGGTGGGTGTAAGAAGTGAGAAATCCAAAATCAGACAGCTCAGACTTGGAATTCCAGTCTGCCCTTTACCAGACTCTCTCTCTTTTTTATTTTTTACTATTTTATATCCTGATTTTTATTTGTCAACATAAACTGAGTATCTTTCCACGTCAATAAATGTTCTTCCATGGCATCATTTTTTAATTACTATTTTAAAATTTTTGTTGTGGTAAAACATACATAACAAAATGTTTGTCAATTTAACCTTTTTTGTGGTAAATATATGTATAACAAAACATCTGACATTTCAGCAATCCTCACATGTACAGTTCAAGGACATTAATTATATTTGTCATGTTCCTCAACCATGACTCTTATCTGTACCCAAATTATACCATCACCCTTAACAGAAGCTTAGTGTCCCCTCCCTAAGCATTGAGTTCTCCTTTCCCCCTCCCTCCTGCCCACCCCTGGTAACCACTGATAAACTTTGATTTCTACACACTTGCCTATTCTAGATATTTCATATAAGTGGGATCGTACAATATTTGTTCTTTTGTGACTGATTTATTTCACTCAGCATGATATTTTCAAGGTTCACCCATGTTGTAGCATGTAGCAGGACTTCATTTCTTTTTATGGCTGAGTATTACTCCATCATATGTATGTCTTATGTTTTGTTTATCCATTCATCTCGTGATGGACATTTAGGCTGTTTCCACTTTTGGCCATTGTGAGTAGTGCTCCAATGAACACTGGTGTACAAGTATCTGTTGCATTTATGGTTTTGAGTATTTTTTTACCAGACTCTTTTTTGTTTATTGTTGTACTTTAAGTGAAAGTTTACAATTCAAGTTAGTCTCTCACACAAAAATTTATACATACACTGTTATATGACTCTAATCGCTCTCCCTATACGGTGATAGCACATTCCTCCTTTCCACCCTTGATTTCCTGTGTCCATTCAACCAGCTCCTGACCCTCTCTGCTTTCTCATCTCACCTCCGGACAGGAGCTGCCCATTTAGTCTCATATACCTACTTAGAGCTAAGAAGCACACTCTTCAAGAGTATCATTTTATGTTCCATAGTACAGTCTAATCTTTGTTTGAAGAGCTGGCCTCAGGAATTTTTTACCAGACTCTTAACCTCTCCGACCTTCATGGTCTTTATCCATAAAATGTGCTTAATAATAATATCCACCCTTTAGGGTTGTTGTGCAGATTAAGCATGATAATGCCTGCAGAACACTGAGCAGAGTAAACACACACTAAGTGTAAGCATTATTATTCATTCACTGAACATATATTGAGTGCCTGCTGGGTGCCAGGCACTGCTAGGAAGATAAAATAAGACGTGGTTCTTGCCTCAAGGAACTCCCAAAACAGAAGGGGAGAGAGATAAGAAATGAGACTCTGAGAGCCCAGGGTGATGTGTGCTTGGGTAGAACAAAGGGCATGGAAGCCTGGTGGAAAGCTGGATGGAAGAGTTTCTTTTGAGTCACATGTGTTGTCAGTGGACACCTACTTGAGATAAGTCTTAAGAATAGGGACCTGGCCAGGAGGAGAGGGCACAGCTGGGTAAAGACCTAGAAGTGTGAGCGATCTGGGTGAGTGCTAGGGACTCATTTGTCAAACGTGACTTGATCATGGAGGGTGAGGAGGGGAGAGGTGAGAGATGCATCTGGGCAGGTGGGCAGGGGTCAGATCTTAGAGTGCCATTCATTCATTCAACAAATATTTATTGAAGTCCTACTACGTGCGAGGCAGTTGCTGATGATATAGTAATAAACAAGACAGACAAAAATGTCTACCTGCAGAGTGTTTATGTTCTAGCGGTGGAGACAGACAATAAATAGGATAAACAAGTAAAACTGTCGTAAATATGATGGTGAAAAGTACTATGGAGAAAAAGAAAGCAGGAAAAAGAGTTAAGAAGTACCATGTATGTGGTGTGTACGTGTGAGGGTATGCATGGTGTTAGGTGTTCACACTTAAATATGGCTGTTAGAAAAGGCCTACCTGAGACGGCCCTGGTAGGAAGTAGGGCCATTTCCCCTGCCACGGGGAGAGAGATTATCTGAGAAAATCGAAAGCAACGATCTCTAGTTCTTCCCATCCCTCTCCGCACACCCCTTTGCAATGTGAATTTGCAGTTTCTTCTATCAGTAGGTGGTGTGTACCAAGTTATAACAATTGGTCTGTATTCACCTGGAGCAACAGGAGGGTCAGGAGGGTCAGGAATAGGAGGAGAAAATGGAATGTGAGGCTAATTGCCTCCATGAACAACTGCCTCTTTTGTCATGAGACCAGAAGAATTGGTGCCGAGTTACCACTACTGAACATTTTGATCAAAGATTCTATAGAAAAATCCTGATCAAAAGGGAGGAAAATGCAGAATAGAATTTCAAATTCTTATGGAATTCAGAATTGCTGAAGCTATGGAGGCTAGATGAACCTCTGAAACTATTGCCCTGAGATAATCTTCAAACCATAAACCAAAAATATCTCCTGAAGTCTTCTTAAAACCACCGTAGTTTAATTAGTAAAGGATGTCTGCCTTGAGCATTGTGCTCTTTTAAGATCAAGTTGACAATAGCAACTCAAAAGATTAGATAGGAAACTTAGGGGGCAGTGAGTTTGTTAATAGGGGAGGAACAATTTGGAAAAGAAGGGTGAGAATGGTTGTACAACTTGAAGAATGTAATCAATGTCACTGAACTGTCCATGGAGAAATTGATGAATTGATGTAAGTTCTGCTGTAGATATTCTCAACAGCAACAACAATAAAAGAAGTGGTACGTGTTTTCTATCCCTTGATCAGGGCTTGACCATGTGCCTTGTTCTGACCAATGGTACATTAGCAAACATGATGTATGCAGAGGCTTAAAAAGAGAAACACATGGTCAAGGCATTCCTGTTTTTCCAGCTGATATCTGGCCAATTGCCAGGCACGTGAGTTAGGTTGCTATAGTCCTTCAGCTTCAGGTGAGCCAGCTCAGACCAGAAAAACTGCTCAGCCAACCCACAGAGCCATGAGTAAATAAATGGGTGTTTTAGCTGACCCACTCTCTGGCATCATTTGAGCTCTTTGATCCAGCTGTGCCTGAAGTTAGATACTCCTGGACTCTTATGAGTCATCGTTGTTGTTGTTGGCTCCAACTCATGGTGACCTTATTTATAACAAAACAAAACATTTCCTGGTCCTGCACCATTTTCAGGATCATTGGTATGTTTGAGTCCCTTGTTGCCACTATTGTGTAGTTTCTTCCAACCTAGGAGGCTCATCTTCTAGTGCTATGTTGGACAATATTCTATTGTGATCTGTAGGGTTTTCACTGGCTAATTTTTGGAAATAGATGACCAGGCCTTTTTTCTTAGTCTTTTTTTCCTAATCACTGAAACCTGTCCACCATGGGTGATCCTGCTGATATTTGCGATACAGGTGGCATAGCTTCCAGCATCATAGCAACACACAAGCCACTATGGTATGACAAACTGACAGATGGGCTATGGGCCATTATGTTCTACTTATATTTGCTTAAACTAATTTAATTGGATCTCTTTTACTTGCAACCCAAAAGATCCCTGATCTTCCAAGATTGAATGGACTGTAAGGACAATGGTCAGGAAAGTTGAAGGCAGTGAACAAACAGTTACTGGCAGGCTTGACCTTGTGTTCTGGATAGAAAAGGAAGTGAATTCAGGGTGGAGGAGAAATGGAAGGGTCAGTAGTTCAAGGTCTTTTTTTTTTGAAACTCTATGTTTTCGTTCTCTGAATCTCTTGCTGGAGTTCGATCAAATTCACTGGTTTCCTCCTGGTATCCTCCAGTGATGCTGGGCTCATGTAACCTTATATTAGCATATTTCCCAGAAGCCCCCAGAAGTCCACAGAGCTGTGAACATCCATTGTTTAAAGGTAGACAAACTATCCCTTACCTGATCATCATCATAATTTATCTCCTTGTGTTCAGGCAAGACAGAGGTTAGTTGGGCTTGCAGATCTTAGTTTTCTCCTTGTAATATCTGGGACACCATGGAAGAAAGCTACATCCAGTCTAAAGTCTCACATCCCATATTCTATTCACCAGGAAGCCTTGGTGGGCCTTGAATCCATCCAGTTCTTTCCACCCTCACTCCTACCCCTAGCCCAAACCATCATCGCCTCCTTGCTTGGACAACGACAGCAGCTTTCTAAAGTGGGTCTCTGCTCTTGCCCCCTCCCTGAAACCTATTCTGTCAGTTCTTGTACATGTCAAGCTCTTTCCTTTTTCTAGGATTCAGATGATCCAACCCCCTTCCGCTCTCTCCTTCCCAATTTGCTTCTTTCATACCCATGATCACAATTTCGCTCTATCTTGTTCATCTGTGCTTTTCTGGAGCCTATCTGTCACACTAGAAATTAGAACAAAACTGCATCTACCAGTTCAACTCAGCAGCTGTTTCTATCTTTTAAGTCCCCTTCCTATATTAGCCCCCGGGTGTCATGGTTTTGTACCACTTTATTTCATGCTGGTACAGGACTTTACATTTTATAAAATGCCTTCACAGCCATCTGATCTTCACAATGACCTTGTGAAGTAAGTATTACAATCAATGTGTTTCCTGTTCTGTACATGAGGAAGTTGAGGTCAGTGAGACTGAGTAACTGGCCCAAGGACCCACTACTAGGAAAAGGCAGATCTAGGAAGGGCATGATAGAGGCAGAAGGAACAACACACGCAAGGGCTCAGATGCAAGAAACTATGATACATTTGGGGCATTGCATGCTATTCAGTGTAGAGTTGAGTGCTAGGGTGTAGAGTACTGGAGTAGGCAAGGGAGAGCTGTGGGCCACTAAGGGAGGCTGCGTCACCTACTGATTAAAGTCGCTGGATCTGGTCAGAAGTACACCATCTTGAGTCTCAGCTCTGCTACTTGCTGGCTGTGTGACTTTGACCAAGACCTTTAACCTGTCTGAGCCTCTGTTTCTTCATCTGTAAAATAGGGGCAATGGTATCAATCTAAGCTTGTTGTGAGAATGTAATGCTTGCCAACGGCTCTGTACTATGCCTGAAACGCAGTAAATACTCCAGAAATAATAGTTCCCAATCCCTAGAACTCAAGACAGAGTTGGCTTCGCCCAGTCAATGGATCAATTCTATCCTGAGTCGGGTGGACATCCCTGGTCCTATCAGCTGTGGCCAAAAGGGTAAAGTTATTTGACATGAACGATAATATTGAGGGGATTACATAACCTCTGACTTAGAGGTTCGAGTGCTGAGAGACGAAATCGTGGGAGTAAAGGAGAGTTGACTCAAAGTCGTAGAGCTGTGAACCAGCATTCTGTGTTCATGGAATTGCAAGTGTTTTGGCATGGCTGGAGCGTAGGATGTGTTTTGAGAGTATGGGGGGCTATAGAGATATAAGCAAGGGCTAGATCGTCAAGGACCCTGAACGCCAAGTAAAGGAACTTGAACTTTATTCTGTAGGTAATGGGGAGCCATTGAAGGATTTTAAACTGGGGAGGGGTACATTCATATTTATGCTTCAAAAGATCACAATGGTCAGGGTAGAAAGGGGTGGGATGAGGAGACAAGATCATTAGGAGTCTAGATCATGGGCAACCATGTCATGGCCACCCCTGGGGACTTGCAAGCACTTGTCAGCTTCTCCTAATGAGCGTGATGGTGTCACAGTCTTTGATCTGCAGGTCTCTGAGGCTGAGACGATTATGCAGGTTCCGACCCTGGAACTTTAGTATCATCTGATCCTTCATGTAAGGGCCTCCAGCTACCTCAATCTTCTCTTTCAAGTCCCAGATAGAGTCATCAGGGTTGATGGCATAAGGCTTGTTCTGGCCACTAGATTCCTTCACGAAGACCTGGATCTCAGGGGGGAAGATTTCCAGCACCCGGATGCTCACCTTAGAGAAGATACCATAATCAGCAAGGGTCTTCTGGCTGCTGAGCGGTTGCCGCTCCCCATCCGGCTCCTGGAAGGAGAGACGCTGGTGCCCATAGAGGGCACACATGTTCTTAATCTCTTTTTTCATCTTCCAAATGGGGCTGTAGGGGTTCACTGAGAGTGTCCAGGCCTCCTTCCCACTCTTTCTCACTGTCACCTGGACATCTCTTGCTCGCTGAAAGAGAGACAGGGGCAGGTGAGGGTCTCTGGGTGGTCATGGCTGTCTGTTATCTCCAAAGCCCCTTGTTCTGGAAACTGACCATGTAATTTACTGTCCTACCAAGACACTTTTAAAAGTAAAAGGAGGTGCTATCAATAATTATGTGAGACAACAGTCATAAACTGGTAATGTCCCAGGCAAAGTGGGACATTTGTTGTCAGAGGCTTATAGGACCATGGGGTCATCATCTGTCCTCCAACTCACCCCATCACAGTAACAACTGGCAATAGTTCTCCAAATGACCACTCCTCATATTAGGAGATATTCAGAGTCCTCCCTGTCCCATGAGGATAATATTAGTACTCACAGCACCATCCAGCTGTTGTGAGAATAAATGATTTCACATATGTGAGGCACTGATCACAGTGTGCAAAGACATCTATAATGTATTCAAAGATATCCATTGCAATAGCCAAAGTCTGAAAGCATCCTAAAAATCTGTCAGTAGGGCACTGGTTATATAAATTAAGGTACTTTCATGCAGTGGATAATGATACAGCTGTTAAAAAGACTGATTAGATTGAGGATAACTGTATGTTCCCATTTGTTTAGGGCAGTCTTGATTCATGTCTATTGTCCTGGCTTTTAACATCACCCCCTTCACTCTCAAAAGTATTCTGGTTTGAACTTTATATTTTATGGTTACACCTGCTAGGTCTACGTGTCTGGATATGGAATTGTCTCTAAGATAATTTAAATTAGTTACCAAATAGCTTAATGATTTAAGTAAAAGAAGTAAAAATGTGCAAAAAACAGGATGCACAGACAAGGGCAAGAGGTTGTATGTGGATGGCGTATCCATGGAAGGAGATGGAAAAAATTGATCTATGGAGGTCTGAGAGGTGGTAGAACTGAGAGTCTGGGGGTTGAGATGAAAAGACAAGTTACCATTAATTTTGTGTCTTTTAGCAGTTGATTTTTTTAATGCTATGAACATGTGTTATCTTTCCACAAAATGCAAAATAATTGTAATAATAATAATAATAAGGCTTATGGGGAGGGGACTCAGCAGGAGTTGGAAGTATTGGCCTGTTCTGTGAATCTTACTGCCCAGAGCCCCTTGGTCAGCTGGACATTCACAGCTAATGGGACATGGCTAGGCAGTGGGCCCCTCTGCTGCTTTGGGCTCTGGTCAGAAGTACATCAGGTGCTGCAAGGTTGCCTTTGCAGCCAGGCTCAGAATTTCCCTGCAGGATCTGAAATGCAAGCCCTGGTGACAAGCTCACTGTGGGAGTAGCAGGTTGGGAAAATTAGGTCTCTCAGTGAGGTCATAAGCAGAGTCCTGGTCTATGAACCCAGATTCCTATGTAACATTCAGACCTAGGATGGCTGTGGTCCATCCATAAGGAGGCAACACAGCTGGGTTGTTGTCTACAGGGGAACCCTGTGCTATCACTGTATCATTTTTGGATATATCTATTAAATCTCTTGTTTTAATTGCAAGATGTTAAGGTTCTGACAATCCATAATAGGGGAAGCATTCTCTCACAGGATGTACGTATGGGAGCAAATTATTTGGCTGCATCTCTCAATTGACTACTGAGCAGAAGAATTGTTCTGCCCATTTTCCAGGGGAAAGAATTGAGACCCAGGCATTTTCAGGATAAGTGGAGGAAATGCACACCTGGTTGACTGGGACATCTTTAGGGGAAGTGTTGCCTGTGTGGGGAAGTTGTGAGTGCTGTGGCAGGAGTATTGGGAGATTCATGGGGAGCTGAAGTGAAGAGACCATTGAGTCACAACTTTGGGGTGGGGTCATACCTGTATGTGCCAGCCCTGGCTGGGGTCTTCAGTGTTGCAGCAGGGCTGCCGTAGGCAGTAAGCAGCTTCTTTGGCCACCAAGTCCCACCTCTTCCCCTTTCCCAGATTATTGGTTGGGTCAGCTGGGTCCAGGATGACAGGTCTGGGAGAGAGAAGGGGCAGGTCTGGGCCACATTCATGGTTCTGGCCTTTGGACCTCAGAGGCATTGGGTGCCTGCCTTGTGCAGGGTGAGCTCCCTGCATGCTGAACCTCTTGGTTCAAGATTAGGGATGTAACCAAAGCAGGCCCAGTCAAGGCTTATCTCAGAACTTTTGCTTGTAATGCTGGGGCAAAGGTATATTGGAAGGTTCATATCCAGATGGAAAGCCTGGACCTCACACAGCCATGAAGGAATTAGCCTGAAGTCAAAGCTGAAAGCCTGGGAATGGCTGAGCTGAGCAATTCCATCTTGGTACTCTGAAGACATAGTGACCACCTCGATCACACCATATCTGAAGCTTCAGTTATCTTTGGAATTTTCAGTAACAAGGCCAATAAATTCTTTTTATTTTTAGAACTGTTTGAGTTGAGTTTTCTGCCCCTTGTAGTTGAAATGAACACAACTAACACACTCACCTGTATTCCTTCAACTTTTGTTTGATACAGTTTCTGACAACCTCATTTTGGAAATCATAGTACTTGGTCCAGTATATACAAATGTCTTCATGATCTCTGAGGAGTTTCATCACAGCCACAAACCCTTCATCCATGTGGAAGTTCACACTTTTCTCTGTACCCATTTCCCAGGCGTAGATGGTCAGTAGCTCCAGCGCATATTTTGAAGGCAATGGTACTTTTCGATATTTAGGTTTTAAGAACTGTTGAAAGAAAGAGAGCGAGAGAGAGACAGAGACAGAGAGAGAGGGAGAGAGAGAGAGAGAAATTGCTGCCTGGGAATTTCTAGTTCACTGTTTCCAGGTCTCAGTAATACTTTATCAACTTTATTTTCCATCATGTACACTCATGAAATTTTATGTGGGCCCTGCCCCTCAGAAGATAACAGACTATAACAACAAACGATGACAGTTATATTATGGATTGAATTGTATCCCCCAAAAATATGTGTTAAAAAGCCTAACCCGTGTACCCTTAAATATGACCCTGTTTGTAAATGGAGCTCCGGCCGCTAACCAAAAGGTTGGCAGTTCGAATCTACCAGCCACTCCTTGAAAACCCTATGGGGCAGTTCTACTCTGTCCTGTAGGGTCACTATGAGTCAGAATTGACTCAATGGCAACAGATTTGGTTTGTAAATAGGGATTTTATTTTGTTATGTTAATGAGGTCATACCAGAGTAGGGTGGGTCCTAAACCTAATCACTTCTGAGCTATCAAAAAGGAAGAATAGACACAGAGACACTCACAGGGGGAAGACAGATGTCATGTGAGGACCTGTCTACAAGCAAAGGAACACCAAAGATTGATGACAGTCACCAAACACTAGGAAAGAGGCTAATAGGAAGAGTGGACAGGACCAAGACCCTGATTTGGACTTTTAGCCTTCAGAACTGTGAGAAAATAAATTTATTGTCTTTAAAGCCAACCACTAATGGTACTTCTATTATGGCAGCAGTAGCAAACTGAGACAAATAATAGCTATCCCTCACAGTTCCCAGTGCTCTGTGTATAAGTAGCTCCCAATTATACTATTTCTACGCTATTTAACCTACCCCCTATGGTTGGACAGTTGGGTTGTTTCCATTTTTTTATTCCTAAAAATATACTGTGGTGCACCCACCCTCTCCCTGCCTGTGCACCTCCCAGCCCAGCCCCACTCCCTCACCTGCAGGTACCAGTGCTTCACCAGGCGCAGGAGGCTCTTCAGCTTAGTAGGGCAGCTTTTCACAAAGTGCCTCTGTAGCTCTGTGAAGCTTGATGAAAACTCCCCAGGTTGGCCAGCACTGGTTATTAAGTCTTCATAGATTTCCGGCGATGGTTTAGTGTCTGGGCAAAAGGGTCCTGGGAGAAGAAAAGTAGCTAGTTAGGAAAATCTACCCTTTGAGATGAGGAAGATAGGAAAAGGAGTACTGCACATAGAGCATGCGTAAGTCATCTCCTGCAATCCTCACTACAGCAATATTATTCTTTTTAATTTACAACTACGTAAGTGGAGGTCTAGATAGTTTGGTAAATAAAAACAAACAAACAAAAACCCAAATCTGTTGCTATTGAGTCAATTCTGACTCATGGTGACCCCGTGTGTAACAGAGTAGAACTACTCCATAGGGTTTTCTTGGCTGTAATCTATGGAAGCTGAACTCTAGGCTTTCTTCCATGGTGCCACTTGGTGGGTTTGAACCACCAGCTTTTAGGTTAATAGTCAAGTGAAAATGCTTGCACCACCTAGGGACCTAGATGTTTTGGCAGCATACCCAACAGTCATATAGATTTTAAATAACTCACATTGACCACAGACTTAACATGTGCTGGGCACTGGGCTAAGCTCGTGGAATCCTCAGACCAGCTCCATGAAGTAGGTAAAATTAAGTGGAACCATAGGAAATTAGCATTTTTATAGGTCCAACATGGTCAAATATGCTAGGGTTCAACTTGATATTATTATCTCATTTAACAGGTTAGTAACTGAGTCTTGGAGGAGTTAAATAGCTTGCCTAAAGTCATACAACTGGTAAGTCTTGGAGTCAAAATTTGAAAATATAAAGAGCCCTGTTTTAAAAAATGATTCCAATCTAGTTCTGTCTGACTCCATATTCCTTCCTATGTGGTCAGGCAGGAATCTTCTCCTTGGGTTGAGTGGGAATCCATTATTTGGGAGAAGACCTCTTTCCCCATGAAACAATTGGACATGGCAACACATGTATTTACGGGAGGATTTAATCTTCAGGTATAGCTCCAATCCTATCCTTTCCAAAAAGAACAAACTGCAATCTTTCCTCATTGGTTTCTACTTTGCCAAACCTCCCCCAAGATCAGGTTGGTGAGGGGGCCTTGACTGGTTTCTCCGGATTCGACCCATCTCTGTCTTTACCCAGAGCATCGAAAGCTGGGAGCACATCCACCCGAATGGCTTCACTGCTCTTCTTGGACTGGACCTGCAAGGACAGGGAGCGAGGGGCCCTGGCCCCCTCTCTGGGCGAGACCAGTGATATGTGGTAGGCCAAACTCCTACAACAGTGATCCAATTTCTCCTGGATGAGGGTGATGACGTCTTTTCGGAGCTGGGCCTGGTTTTGGAAGCTGGAGAAGCAGCTCAAGAACAGGACCATGTCCACATCGGAGCTGTAGTTCAACGTCGTCCCCTTCCCTGAGGAGCCGCCCTGTGGGGACAATAATATTGAACTTCACCTCCACTGAGGCCTGGTGCCTGAGTTTGGAGGTGAGTCAGAAACATCCAAATTGGGCTGTTTACACAGGTTCCAACAGGGGCCCTTGGTTTCCATCATATACAGTGGTTTTTGCTGTGGGTATTACTATGTCTTTTCATTGATTAGAGAAAATAAACATTTTCTAAACAATTCAAAGGATATAAATGAAATGTAAAACTCCATTCCACCCCCAGGCTCTAAACCCCTTCTCCAGAAGCAGCCACAGTTACCAACTGCTTCCAGCATCATTCCACAGATGTTCTACACTTATCCAACATGGTAGCCAAAAGCCACATGTGGCCATTTAAATTATTAAAGTTAAATGACAAAAAATATTCAGCTCCTCAGTCACACTTGCCTCATTTCAAGTGCTCAATAGCCACATGTGGCTAGTGGCTACCGTATTGGACAGCACAGATACAGAATGTTTCCATCATTGTAGAAAGTTCTATTGAGTGGCTCTGGCCTAGACAAACACATTTTTTGTATATATTTTGTACATCTATTACATGTGTGTGTATACATGTGTGTGTATAATTTAAAAAAAAATTTATTTTGAAATAATTATAGATTCACAGGAGGTTGTAAAGAGAGTCCCGAGAGGGCTGGTGTACCCTTCATCCAGTTCCCCCCAATGGTTACATCTTACATAAATATAGTAGAATATCAAAACCAGGAAATTGGCATTGATACCATGTGGGTGTATAGTTCTATGACATTTTATCATCTTTATAGATTCCTGTAACCATCACTGCAATCAAGATACAGAACTATTCCATCATGACTGAGATCTCCCTCATGCTACTCTTGCATAGTCACATTCCCCTCCCTCCCCGCCACCATGCGTAAACCCTGGAAACCACTCATCCGTTTTCCATCTCAATAATTTTGTCATTTAGAGAATGTTATATAAATGGAGTCATACAGTATGTGACCTTTTGAAATTGGCTTTTTTCCCCCTGTTCACTATAATGCCCATAATATCTATCCATGTTATTTTGTGCATTAATAGTTTATCCCATTGTAATTACCCTTGTTACAGTTTCAACTTCATTCTCCATCTGCATGCTATCTACTTTTCAGAGCCCCCAAGTTCTTGCTTTTTGTCCTCTGCCGGAGTTTTAGCTGTAGTCTGTGAGATAGTTTGTAAGGGGCTTACTCTATTTCTGCCTGCATCAGAGGTTTGCAATTACTTTTAAAATAAACGTACTTATAAATACACATAAAATAAAATGTTTTCTAGTTATTTAAAAATATTTTAAATGTGATCATAAAACAAAAAAAACCCCAAACCTGTTGAGTCAATTTCATTCAACTCATAGTAACCCTATAGGACAGAGTAGAACTGCCCCATATGGTTTCCAGGGAGCAGCTGGTGGATTTGAACTGCTGACCTTTTGGTTAGCAGCCGACCTCTTAACCACTGTGCCACCAAGGCTCCAGTGTGATCATAGTACACTAAAATGTTAGTAGTGTGTATCTATGAATAGTAGAGTTATTCATTTTGTAAGTTTCTGTATTTTTCCATATTTTTTTGACTAAATTCTGACACACATGGGTCGCCATGAGTTGGAATCAACTCAATAGCAACTAAAAACAACAGGCGTATAATTAAAAAATTATGAACCCCCAGGATTATGGCCCTAAGACTCCCTTCTGAACTGGAAGTGAAGCCATTCCCAGAGACTGCCTTTCAGCCAAACCATAGACAGTCTCCTAAAATAAACAATAACATAGGAGAGGAAACTGCTCCTTCGAACAATCAATTATATGAGATCAAAAGGGCAACATTTGCCCCAAAGCAAAGATGAGAAGGCAGGAAGGGGTAGAAAATCAGGACAAAAGGAAACAGGAACCTAGGACGGAAATGGGGAGAGTACTGACATATTGTAGGAAATGAAACCAATGTTATTGGACACTTTATGTACAAACTTCTGAATGGGAAACTAATTTGCTCTGTAAACTTTCACCTAATGCACAACTAAAAAAAAAGATTATACAGGCTTAAAAATACTGCTAAGGTATATAAAATATGCATTCGAATAGTCTGTTAATGGAGGAGTTACCTGATAAATTTTCTGAAGGACAAAAAAAAAAAAAAAAGTAATTTTGACTTCAGATCTGCTACTAATTCCTGTTGTTGTTGTTAGGTGCCATGGAGTCAGTTCCAACTCATAGTGACACAATAGGACAGAGTAGAACTGTCCTACAGAGTTTCCAAGGAACAGCTGGTGGATTCAAACTGCCAACCTCTTGGTTAGCAGCCATAGCTCTTAACCACTGTGCCACCAGGGCTCCCACTAATTCCTAGGTAACCTTAATTTAGGCATTGCATTTCATGTCCAGAGGAAAGAGAATGTGGAAGAATGTGGGTGTCAGACGGCAGCATGATTAAGTCCAGCAAGAAATGTCATGGCATTCTCACCCCAATTTGGATGGTTAAACCCAGGGAAACTAGATGTAACTAAGAAAATGCAGTGCTTATCAAGGTCAAGAAACAAACTGATTGCCTTCGAGTCGATTCCGACTCATAGTGACCTGATAGAACAGAGTAGAACTGCCCCATAGAGTTTCCAAGGAACGGCTGGTGGATTCAAACTGCTGACCTTTTGGTTAGCAGCCGAGCTCTTAACCGTGTGTCACCAGGGCTCCAAGCCAAGAAAAGCAGAGAAAACAAATGTTAAAGTATGTGCAAGATGTGCAATGGACCTTTCTCCTCCTGATAGAGAAATTGAAACTTAAGGCAGTTGTTTCCTCATTGCAATTGCTTGTTTGCCAATGTTCGTCCAAATAAGGTTTAACTCCATCAACACTCTGCTCTTGGCATTTTCCTTTCTGCTCAAAATAATTGGAGATAGTTAACCTAGGGGTATTTCAACTTCTGGAAATAGAGTCTATTGAGAGAGCAAGAGGAAAGGTAAAATTAATTTTTTCTTATACAAATACTTGATGCATATACCTGTTAGGGTGAGATGGGAAACTTCAAGATATTGCCATTTTGCAGCAGCATACATAGTATGTCCTCTACTGAAATACAGCACATGTGAATCAATAGGAGAGCTTTATTTAGAACGTATGTTAAAATATTTGAACACTTTCAAATCCATCCTTGAGAAAATGTGCATCCTATTTGTAGTTCCAGGATTTGGTGGAACTGACGGAAAACCAATTGACATGTTTCAACAAACAGATGAAATGCTGAAATTGCTCACTCATCTATGCTGAGAAATTTGGAAGACAGCTACCTGACCAATCGACTGGAAGAGATCTGTATTTATGCCTATTCTCAAGAAATGTGATCCAATCGAATGCAGAAATTATTGCACAATTTCATTAATATCACACACAAGTAAAATTTTGTTGAAGATCATTCAAAAGGGGCTGCAGCAGTATATCGACAGGGAACTGCGAGAAATCCAAGCTGGATTCAGAAGAGGATGTGGAGCAAGGGACAGCATTACTGATGTCAGATGGATCCTGGCTGAAAGCGGAGAATATCAGAAAGATGTTTACCTGTGTTCTGTTGACTATGCAAAGGCATTCGACTGTGTGGATCATAACAAATTATGGATAACATTGCAAAGAATGGGAATTCCAGAACACTTAATTGTACTCATGAAGAACCTATACACAGATCAACAGGCAGTCGTTCGAACAGAACAACGGGATACTGCGTGGTTTATAGTCAGGAAAGGTGTGTGTCAGGGTTGTATCCTTTCACCACACCTATTCAATCTGTATGCTGACCAAATGATCCAAGAAGCTGGACTATATGAAGAAAACAGGGCATCGGGATTGGAGGAAGACTCATTAAGAAACTGCAATATGCAGATGACACAATTTTGCTTGCTGACAGTGAAGAGGACTTGAAGCACTTACTGATGAAGATCGAAGACCACAGCCTTCAGCATGGATTACACCTCAACATAAAGAGAACAAAAATCCCCATAACTGGACCAGTAAGCAACATCATGATAAATGGAGAAAATATTGAAGGTGTAAAGGATTTCATTTTACTTGGATCCACAATCAACACCCATGGAAGCAGCAGTCAAGAAATCAAACAATGCATTGCATTGGGCAAATCGGATGTAAAAGACCTCTTTAAAGTGTTAAAAAGCAAAGATGTCACCTTGAAGACTAACGTGCGCCTGACCCAAGCCATGGTGTTTTCAATTGCCTCAAATCCATTTGAAAGCTGGATGATAAAATAAGGAAGATTGAAGAAGAATTGCTGCCTTTAAATTGTGGTGTTGGCGAAGAATATTGAATACACCATGGACTGCCTGGAAGAATGAACAAATCTGTCTTGGAGGAAGTACAACGAGAATGCTTCTTAGAAGCAAGAATGGCAAGACTTTGTCTCACATACTTTGGACATGTTATCAGGAGAGATCAGTCCCTGGAGAAGGACATCTTGGCTGGTAAAATAGAAGGTCAGTGAAAAACAGGAAGACCTTCAATGAGATGGATTGACACAGTGGCTGCAACAATGGGCTCAAGCATAACAGAGATTGTGAGGATGGTGCAGACCAGCAAGTGTTTCATTCTCTTGCACACAGGGTCGCTATGAGTTGGAACTGATTAGACAGCACTTAACAACAACAACAATCTGTAGTTCTGATCAGAATGTCCTTTTTTGGGTTTAGATCTAGAAGGCAAAGATGCTGATGTAGCTCTAGCACAGTTAGAAAAATTGTTGGGGTCCTATGGGAAAACACTTTATATGCTCAGATGTGTGGAAGAGTCAGAGCCCAGACATGCAAAGTTGTATCCTTCTAGACAGGTACAGGAACTTGAATATCTGGATTTCTGTTTGAAGCTGATAGTTTGCTGATAACAACTCTCTGATCTTCGGTTTCTCCTCTCGAGACTCTTTAAGACTGTGTGTCCTTCCTTTGCAGTCTTATCCTCGGCTGCCATTACTCCTCCTCCTACTTACAGCCATTACTACTTACCTTATTATTAGATGTTTTTTCATTCTCCCAAATCTAATCTTGTGGTCAAGACACTTTTTGATTTAGAGAGATATGTCAGAAGTTGAATTACAGTGATCACTTTCCCAAGAGAGGCCATGCTATAAATGGGTATTGAATCCCACGGTCAGCCCCTATACATCTATGTAATCTATAAAGTACTCTCTGGTATTACATAATTGCTAGGTAGTTTCTAACATACCCAGTACGTGTCATTATAGAACAACAATATACGAGGTTATTCTTATGACTGGGGTGGGGAGAGGGTAAACTAGGACTTCTTAAACAAGAAACAAAAAGCATAAATCTTGCAGAGATCTGCTATTCCTAGTCCACCTGACTCCTTGGCTTTCAGAGAGCTGGATCCCAAATAATAATAGTAATAATAATGAAGAAGATGAGGATAGTCATCATTATCCTTCACATTTGTAGAACAACTTACTATTTAAAAGCATGTTTCCATTCTTTATCCCATTTATTGCTCATAACAATTTCAGGTTAAGAGGAGAAGACTGAGGCTCAGAGAGATGACGTGACCCCAACTTCCAAGGTCACCCAGCCCCAAAGGGGCAGAGCTGGGATTCCAACCCCAGAGCCCCAAGTGCTCACCTTCACCACCTTCAGCACCCTGACTTCTTGGTCCAGAATCAGCTCATCGCGGAAGCACTCCTCTCGCAGAAACCGTTCGATTCTCTGCCAGGCATCCTGAACCTCCTCCTTCCAGTCCCCCTGGGGCTGAAGGCTGTGCCTCACGAAGTTGTCCAGCCGGTCCGCAGGGGTCTCGTACAGGTTCTGGGGCAGCTCCATCTCGGCAGGATCAGGATGCCTCTTGGAATCAATCCTCTCTGCTTTGCCCAACCCTTTTAAAAAAAGGAGCACGCTGTAGCCTTTCTCCCTCGGGCAAAAGGGCGAAGACAGGGGAAGGCAAAGTGTGGGGGTAGAGGGGGCTTTATCCTCCTCTCTTGGGTGCGGAGAGGTCTGGGATTCCCCTATAGCAGCACACTGCTCCTTCCTCCCTGGGTACCTTAAGCTCAGTAGCCAGCCGTCCTGCCAGCTCCTCCCTGCTTTCTTGACATTTCGAAACTGAAACTGAGTTTGCTTTGCTGAAAGTTTCTCTTTCTCCTTAAGGGTTTCAGGACAAATGTCTGGGAGATAAGTGTCTTCCATGGGCTCTCATCCCTGGAATTTCCCACAGTGTTTGGAGCTGACCTCCCCTCATTCCTCGTTTCCTGCTGCATGGGAAGAGAAAGAGAGATAGACAGAAACAGAGAGAGACTGAGGGAGGGAGTGGAAAAGAGAGACAGAGATTGAGGGAGGAGGAGAGAGAGAGGAACAAAAGAGAGAGGGAGAGACAGGCATTTACACGCGCGCGCGCGCGCGCGCGCACACACACACACAGAGGGAGAGAAATACCCTTAGAGACAGACAGCTAGACACACATATGCGTGTACACACATACAGAGAAAAACACCCCTAGAGAGAGACATTCATACACACACACACACACAAACATACAGAGGGACAGAGCAGGAGATGGCATGGGAGGGTGGGAGGGAGGAGAGAAGGAGGGGGAGGGTGGGGGGAAGCTGAGGAGTGGAAGGAGAGAAGCTGTCTTGAGTCTGGACCATTCCCAGCTCCTAATGCATTGCCTGCTGCTCCTCCTGTTCTTAGGCTCCAGGTCCTGGCTGGAATATCACGACCACTGTCTCTTCCATGGGCACATTAGCCTGGGTGGATTTCTGCTCCTGTCTGGGAGAGTGGGTGACATCTACTGCCCACTGCATCCAGGACTGCACAGACTTGGAGAGTCAGGGCCTGGGGCCAACTCCTTCATCAGCCCAGGGCCTAGCCCACACCAGGTACAGTGGGGAGTGAGGGTGGAATGCAGGGGAAACACAGGCAATTGTTGCTGTCGAGGCCCAAAAGAAGGTGTACAGGGGATGTAGGACATTTGGGACGGAGCCTGAGAGCTGAGAGGAACAGAGCCAGAAGTCAGAGCAACTTGTAGTAGTTTCCTGTAGGTATTATAACAAATTACCAAACACTCTGTGGCTTAAAACATCAGAAATTTACTCTTGCACAGTTCCGGTTTCATTGCAAAGACAAGAAAGAAAGAAAAGACCAAAATGGATGTCAGAAGAGACTCTGAAACTTGCTCTTGAACATCGAGTTGCTAAAGTTAAAGGAAGAAATGATGAAGTAAATGAGCTGAACAGAAGATTTCAAAGGGTGGCTCAAGAAGACGAAGTAAATTATTATAACGAAATGTGCAAAGACCTGGAGTTAGCAAACCACAAGGGAAGAACACGTTCAGCATTTCTCAGGCTGAAAGAAATGAAGAAAAAATTCAAGCCTAGAGTTGCAATATTGAAGGATTCTGTGGGGGAAATATTAACTGACACAGGAAGCAGAAAAAGAAGATGGAAAGAATAAACAGAGTACTGTACTTTGGTACTGTGTACTGTACCAAAAAGAATTGGTCTATGTTCAGCCATTTCAGGAGGTAGCATATGATCAAGAACCAATGGTACTGAAGGAAGAAGTTCAAGTTGCACTGAAGGCATTGGCAAAAAACAAGACTCCAGGAATTGATGGAATACCAATTGAGATGTTTCAACAAACTGATGTAGTGCTGAAAGTGCTCATTCATCTCTGCCAAGAAATTTGGAGGACAGCTGCCTGGCCAACTGACAGGAAGAGATCCATATTTGTGCCCATTCCAAAGAAAGGTGATAAAGCAGACTGCAGAAGTTATCGAACAATATCATTACTATCACACACAAGTAAAATTTTGCTGAACATCATTCAAAAGCTATTGTAACAGTACAACGACAGAGAAATGCCAGAAATTCCAGCCGGGTGCAGAAAAGGACGTGGAACAACGGATATCACTGCTGATGTCAGATGGATCTTGGCTGAAAGCAGAGAATACCAGAAGGATGGTTACCTGTGTTTTATTGACTATGCTAAGGCATTCGACTGTGTGGATCATAACAAATTATGGGTAAAATTGTGAAGAATGGGAATTCCAGAACACTTAATTGTGCTCACAAGGAACCTGTACATAGATCAAGATGTAGTCGTTCGAACAGAACAAGGGGATACTGCGAGGTTTAAATTCAGGAAGGATGTGCATCAGGGTTGTATCCTTTCACCATACTTATTCAATCTGTATGCTGAGCAGATAATGCGAGAAGCTGAACTGTATGAAGAAGAACACAGCATCAGGACTGGAGGAAGACTCATTAACAACCTGCCACATGCAGATGACAGAATCTTGCTTGCTGAAAGTGAAGAAGACTTGAAGCATTTACTGATGGAGATCAAAGACTACAGCCTTTGGTATGAATTACACCTCAACGTAAAGAAAACAAAAATCTTCATAGCTGAACCAATAAGGAACATCATAATGAACGGAGAAAAGATTGAAGTTGTTAAGGATTTCATTTTACTTGGATCCACAATCAACGCCCATAGAAGCAGCAGTCAAGAAATCAAACGATGCATTGCATTGGGCAAATCTGCTGTGAAAGACCTCTTTAAAGTGTTAAAAAGCAAACACGTCACTTTAAAGACTAAGATGTGGCTGACCCAAGCCATGGTTTTTTCAGTCACGTCATATGCATGCGAAAGCTGGACAATGAATAAAGAAGACAGAAGAAGAACTGATGCCTTTGAATTATGGTGTTGGTGAAGAATATTGAATACACCATGGACTGCCTGAAAGAATGAACAAACCTGTCTTGGAAGAATTATAACCAGAATGCTCCTTAGAAGCAAGAATGGCAAGACTTCATCATACACACTTTGGACGTGTTATCAGGAGGGACCAGTCCCTGGAGAAGGACATTATGCTTGGTGAAGTAGAGGGTCAGCGAAAAAGAGGAAGACTCTCAACAAGATGGATTGACACAGTGGCTGCAACAATGGGCTTGTGCATAACAATGATTGTGAGGATGGTGCAGGATCGGGGGGGTGTTTTATTCTGTTGTAATTAGGGTTGCTATGAGTCAGAACCGACTCGATGACACCTAACAACAACACAACAGTTCCAGAGTCCAGGGGTCTGAAATCAATATCACTGGGCCAAAATCAAGGCATCAGCAGGGCCTCGCTCCTTCCTGAGGCTCTAGGGGAGAATACGACCGTTGTCTCTTTGGGTTTCTGATGGCTTCCAGCATTCCTTGGCTTGTGGCAACATCACTCCAATCTTCACAGCCAGCATCATCAAATCTCCCTCTGCTCATCTTCACATCACCTTCTCCTTTGTGTTTCTGTGCCAAGTCTCCTCTGCCTTTCTTTTCTAAGGATGCATGTGATTGCATTTAAGGCCCACCCAGAAAACACAGGATAATCTCTCCATCTCAAAATCCTTAACCTAGTCACATTTACAAAGACCCTTTTTCCAAATAAGGTAACATTTGCAGGTTCCAGGGATTAGGCCCTGATATCGTTGGGGAACTCTGATTAGACAACCAGAGATCTGATGTCACAGGGACATGTGGCCTAGCTCCTGACATGTGTCCCAGAGCTGTGGAGGGGGCCCTGGGTATGCCCTGGCACAGAGTCCTCTACAGTGGCATCCTAAGCAGTGGAGACTTGGGTAGCCGCGGAGGCAGTACCCTTAGCTGGACACAGAGGATGGGGCAGAACAAAAGATGTGCCTCTGAGCCCACAGGACCCAGAGACCCAGGGAGGCGTGGGGAAGGGGAGAGGGACCACCTCCCTTAGCTGGAGAGGGCTCGGTGCCTGGGAGTCCTTGATACTGCTAAGGGGACTTCATCTGACCTCACCTACTGGGAATGCCCAGAATCTGTATGTCACTTTCCTGTTCTTTCCCCCAATTTTTCCACAGCTTTTAAAAACTTGGTCTTCCAAAATTGTGTGATATTTTGTCAGTTTTCCTTCTCCTCCACTAGGGGTGCTCTACAGCCACCTTAAAAAAAACCTTTTTTTGTTGTACTTCAGATGAAGGTTTACAGAACAAATCAGCTTCTCATTAAACAATTAGTACACACATTGTTTTGTGACATTGGTAGCTAACACCACGACATGTCAACACTCTCCCCTTCTCGACCTTGGGTTCCCCGTTACCAGCTTTCCTGTCCCCTCCTGCCTTCTCTTCCTTGCCCTTGGGCTGGTGTGCCCCTTTAGTCTTGTTTTGTTTTATGGGCCTGTCTAATCTTTGGCTGAAGAGTGAACTTCAAAAGTGACTTCATTACTGAGCTAAAAGGGGATCTGGGGGGCCATGCTCTCGGGGTTTTTCTCCAGTCTCTGTCAGACCAGTAAGTGTGGTCTTTTTTTGAATTAGAATTTTGTTCTACATTTTTCTCCATCTCTGTCCGGGACCCTCTATTGTGATCCCTGTCAGAGCAGTCGATGGTGGTAGCCGGGCACCATCTAGTTGTGCTGGACTCAGTCTGGTGGAGGCTGTAGTACTTCTGGTCCATTAGTCATTTGGAGTAATCGTTCCCTTGTGTCTTTGGTTTTCTTCATTCTCTCTTGCTCCAGACAGGGTGAGACCAGTGGAATCTCTTAGATGGCCACTTACAGGCTTTTAAGACCCCAGACACTACTCACCAAAGTAGAATGTGGAACATTTTCTTTATAAACTATGTTAAGCCAATTGAGCTAGATGTCGCATAGACCATGGTTCCCACAGCCCTTAGCCCAGTAATTTGGTCCCTCAGGGAGTATGGATGTTCTATGGGGTGTCCATGACCTTGCCTCAGACAAGTTGTGCTGGCTTCCCCAGTATTGTGTACTGTCGTACCCTTCACCAAAGTTACCACTTATCTATTGTCTATTTAGTGTTTTTCCCTCTGACCCTTCCCTTCCCTTCCCTCGTAACCATCAAAGATTGTTTCTTTTTGTGTGTAAACCTTTTCATGAGTTTTTACTGTAGTGGTCTCATACAATATTGGTCCTTTTGTGATTGGTTTATTTCACTCAGCATAATGCCCTCCAGATTCATCCATGTTGTGAGGTGCTTTGCAGATTCATCATTGTTCTTTATCCTTGAGCAGTATTCCACTGTGTGTATGTACCATAGATTGTTTATTCATCTGTTGATGGGCATCAAAGTTGTTTCCATTTTTTTTGCTATTGTGAACAATGCTGCATTGAATGTGGGTGTGCATATGTCTATTCTTGTGACTGCTCTTACTTCTCTAGGATATATTCCAGGAGTGGGATTGCTGTATCATACGGTATTTCTATTTCTCGCTTTTTAA